GTGGATTTAAGGAAATGCAGGGGAATTGGGGTGGGTTTTTATGAATTCCAGGAGAAGCAGGGTGGGTGGAGAAGTGGGGTGGATTTAGGAAAATTTAGGAGAATTGGGGTGGATTGAGGGAAATCCAGGGGAATTGGGGTGGGTTTAGGGAAATCCAGGAGAGAAGGGAATGGATTTAGGGAAATTTAGGAGAAATCTAGGGTTTAGAGGAATCCAGGAGAGGTGAGGTGGGTTTAGGAAATCCAGAAGTGCTGGATGGGTTTAGGGAGATCCAGGAGAAGTGGGATGGATTTGGGGAAATTCAGGAGAATTGGGGTGGGTTTAGGGAAATTTAGGACAAGTGGGGTGAATTTAGGGAATTCCAGGGGAATTGGGGTGGGTTTAGGGAAATTTAGGACAAGTGGGGTGAATTTAGGGAATTCCAGGAGAAGTGGAGTGGGTTTAGAGAATCCAGAAGTGTGGGGTGGATTTAGGGGACATTCAGGAGAAGTGGGGTGGATTTAGGGAAATCCTGGAGAGAAGGGGATGGGTTTAGGGAAATTTAGAAGCAGGGCGGGTTCAGGGAATTCCAGGGGAGTTGGGGTGGATTTAGGGAAATACGGGAGAAGGGGGGAGGATTTAGGGAAATTTTGAAGGGGGGTGGATTTAGGGAAAAGCAGGAGAAAGGGGATGGGTTTAGGGAAATCCCAGAAGTGGGGTGGATTTAGGGAAATCCAAGAGAAATGGGGTGGATTTAGGGATATTCCAAGAGAAGTGGGGTGGATTTAGGGAAATCCAAGAGAAATGGGGTGGGTTCAGGGGATTCCAGGAGCACTGGGGTGGGTTGAAGGAATTCCAGGGGTGGGTTCAGGGGATTCCATGGACATTGGGGTGGGTTCAGGGGATTCCAGGAGCACTGGGGGGGGCTCAGGGAATTCCAGGGGGGCTCAGGGAGCTGTGCCTCACTCGGTCTCTGCAGGGCCTTGACCTTGGCCTGTTTGCTGGCGTGGAGCAGGGGCCGGATCTTCAGGCAGGGGTAGCGGCGGCCCAGGGCCTGCGAGGCTGCAGGGACACAAAAGGGCTGGAATTAACCCCAAAATTCACACCAGGCTGGGCTGGAATCCAGGGGAGACTCCTCTGCCTGTCCTGACCCCCGGGAGAATCTGCTTTTAACCTTCATCCATGGAGAAAGCTGCCAAGAGTTTGGGATGAACGGGAATTACGAGTGCGTGAAATGGATTGTGGTGGAGTTCAGCACAGGGTGAGAAACCTGGGGGTTTTAGCATGGAAAAAGAAGTTTAGCATGGGAAAATATGTTTAGTATGGAAAAAAAGTGTAGTATGGAACAATTGCAGTATGGAACAAAAGTGCAGTATGGAAAAATTAAATTAAATCTGAATTCCAGCAAAATTCCGCACCACAGCTCAGCGCCAGAAAATCCATAAAAAAACACTACATTACACAAAAAGTGTAGTATGGAAAAAGTGCAGTATGGAACAAGTGCAGTATCGAAAAAGTGCAGTACGGAAAAATTAAATTAAATCTGAATTCCAGCAAAACTCCGCACCACAGCTCAGCGCCAAAAAATCCATAAAAAAACCACTACATTACAAAAAAAGTGTAGTATGGAACAAAAGTGCAGTATGGAAGAAAAAGTTTAGCATGGGGGGAAAAGTTGAACATGGGAAAAAAAAACTTTAGGATGGGAGAAAACGTTTAGTATGGAGGAAGAAGTTTAGTGTGGAAGAAAAAGTTCAGTGTGGGGGAGAAGTTTAGTGTGGAGGAAAAAGTTTAACATGGAAAAAAAACTTTAGGATGGAAGAAAAAGCTTAGTATAGGGGGAAAATTTTAGTATGGAAAAAGTTTCGTGTGGAGGAAAAGAAAGTTGAATGTGGAAGAAAAAGTTTAGGATGGAGGAAAAAGTTTAGTATGAAAAATTTAGCAGGCAAGAAAAAGTTTAGTGTGAAGAAAAAGATTAGGATGGAGGAAAAGAAAGTTTAATGTGGAAAAACGTTCAGTATGGAAGAAAAAGTTTGGGATGGAAAGAAAAGTTTAGTGTGGGGGGAAAAACTTTAGGATGGAAGAAAAAGTTTGGGATGTAAGAAAAAGAAGTTTAGGATGGAAAGAAAAGTTTAGTGTGGGGAAAAAAAGTTTGGGATGGAAGAAAAAGAAGTTTGGTATGGAGGAAAAAGTTTAATGTGGAAGAAAAAGTTTAATGTGGGAAAAAGTGTAGTATGGAAAAAAAGTTTAGGATGGAGGAAAAGAAAGTTTAATGTGGAAAAAAAGTTTAGTATGGAAGAAAAAGTTCAGTATGGAAGAAGTTTAGTATGGAAGAAAAATTCAGTAGAGAGGAAAAAGTTCAGTATGGAGGAAAAAGTTTGGGATGGAAAGAAAAGTTTAGTGTGGGGGGAAAAACTTTAGGATGGAAGAAAAAGTTTGGGATGTAAGAAAAAGAAGTTTAGGATGGAAAGAAAAGTTTAGTGTGGAGGGAAAAGCTCAATATGGAAGAAGTTTAGTATGGAAGAAAAAGTTTGGGATGGAAAGAAAAGTTTAGTGGGGGGGGAAAAGCTTGGGATGGAAGAAAAAGAAGTTTAGTATGGAGGAAAAAGTTTAATGTGGAAGAAGAAGTTAAGTATGGAGGAAAAATTTCAGTATGGAAGAAAAATTCAGTATGGAGGGAAAAGTTTAATATGGATAAAAGAGTTTAGTGTGGAAGAAAAAGTTTGGGATGGAAAGAAAAGTTTAGTGTGGAAAATGTTTAATGTAGAAAAGGTTTAATGTGGAGGAAAAAGTTTAGTGTGGAAAAACAGTTCAGTATGGAAGAGAAAGTTTAGGATGGAGAAAAGTTTAATGTGGAAAAAAACTTTAGGATGGAAGAAAAAGCTTAGGATGGAGGAAAAAGTTTAGGATGGAGGAAAAGAAAGTTTAATGTGGAAGAAGAAGTTCAGTATGGAAAAAGTTTAATATGGAGAAAAAGTTCAGTATGGAGGGAAAAGTTTAGTGCGGAAGAAAAATTTAGGATGAAAGAAAAAGTTTAGGATGGAGAGAAAAGTTTAGTGTGGAGGAAAAGAAAGTTTAATGTGGAAAAAAAATTTAGTATGGAAGAAAAAGTTCAGTATGAAAAAGGTTTAGTATGGAAGAAAAAATCAGTACAGAGAAAAAAGTTCAGTATGGACGAAAAAGTTTGGGATGAAAAGAAAAGTTTAGTGTGGAAAAAAAGTTTAATGTAGAAAAAGTTGAGTATGGAAGAAAAGCTTTAGTGTGGAGGAAAAAGTTTTTAGTATGGAAGAAAAGGTTTAGTGTGGTAGAAAAAGATGAGTATGGAAAAACAGTTCAAAGTTCAGTATGGAGGAAAAGGTTTAATATGGAAAATAAAGTTTAGTGTGGAAAAAGTTCAGTATGGAGGAATACCTTTAGTATGGAAGAAAAAGTTTCATGTGGAAAATAAAGTTAATATGGAAGAAGAAGTTTAGTGTGGAGGAACAACTTTAGTGTGGAAAAAGTTTTTAGAATGGAAGAAAAAGTTTAGGATGGAAAGAAAAGTTTAACATGGAAAAAAAAGTTTAGGATGGAAAGAATTCAGTATGGAAGAAAAAGTTTAGCATGGAGGGAAAAGAAGTTTAATATGGAGAAAAAAGTTTAATGTGGAAAAAAATGAAGTAGGGAAGAAGAAGTTTAGTGTGGAGGAAAAAGATGAATATGGAAAAACAGTTCAAAGTTTAGTATGGAGGAAGAAGTTTAATATGGAATATAAAATTTAGTATGGAAAAAGTTCAGTATGGAGGAAAAACTTTAGTGTGGAAAAAGTTTTTAGAATGGAAGAAAAAGTTTAGCATGGAGGAATAAGAAGTTTACCATCGAGTAAAAAGTTTAATGTGGAAAAAAATTAGGTAGGGAAGAAGAAGTTTAGTGTGGAGGAAAAACTTAAGTGTGGAAGAAAAAGTTTAGGATGGGAAGAAAAGTTTAGGATGAAAGATAAAAGTTTAGTGTGGAGGAAAAGGTTTCGGATGGAGGAAAAGAGTTCAGTATGGAAAACGTTTTGTGTGGAAAAAGAAATTTAGGATGGGAAAAGTTTTTGGTATGGAAGAAAAAGTTTAGTGTGGAAAAAATGTTTAGTATGGAGGGAAAAGTTTTGGGTTTTTATTATGGGGGTGGGCAGGAGAAAAGCTGGAGGATTTTGGGCACTGTCTGATCTCCTTCTTGTTCTTCACCTGCTCCATTTCCTGCAGTGCTGGGGGCACAGGGGCTGCATTAGAAAGAACCAAAAGCAGATGTTGGACAGACAAATAATGAGTTATTGGTAGGGAGGTGGAAATAAAATAAATCCCAAGGGTTAATTGGACAAAACAGCTTTAAAAGAGCTCGAATCTGGGTCTGGTGACTTTTGGTGCCTTCTCTCTGTACCCTGAGGTGCAGACAGTGCTGAGCTTTTAATAAGAGAAAAATAAAAAACAACCTGAAGACCAAAATCCCAAAAATCCCATCCATGCCTCATTCCCAACACAAAACTCTTCAAAGATCTCCCCATCAAAACAAAACCACAAAAAAGCACAAAACCACTCAGAGATCTCAGCATTTGCCCCCAAGGCTTGGACTAAAGCAGCTGAAATCGTGGTGGGAACAATTCCCCACCAGGAATAATCCCAAAAACTTGAAAAAATGTTATTTTAAAAGAATCTTGGCACTTTTTAGGGGAAATCCCAAATAAAAGAGCAGAACCTGTTGGGATATGAGAGGAACCCTCCAGGGCTGGCTCTGAGCTGCACTTGGGGTTTTGTCCCCCCAAAAAAATGAATTTATCCAGATTTTGGTGCCATCCCCCTCCCAATATCCTTGGGAGGTGATTGGAATATTTTCAAGTCATAAAAGACAAAAAAAAAAGGGAAAAAAAGGTGAAAAACCTCTTGATTATCATTATTATTATTTGTAATTTTTAAGAGTGCACACAGCTGCATCCAAGGCAATTAAAAAGCACTTTCCACATCCCAGCCCAGAAATTCCAGCTTTCCAAAATCTATCCAGGATGGAAAGGAACAGGAAAAAAATTAAAATAAAATAGAATAAAATAGAATGGAATAAAATAAAATAACACATAAAATAACACATATAAAATAAGTAAAATAAAAAACAAAAATAAAACAAAATAAAATAAATAAAAATAAAATTGAAATAAAATTAAAGTAAAAACAGAATAAAACAAAATATAAACGAGAATAAAATAAAAATAAAAAATAAAATTAAAATTTAATAAAAAATAAAATAAAATACTAAAATAAAAATAAAAATAAAAATAAAAATAAAAATAAAAATAAAAATAGAATAAAACAAAATATAAACTAGAATAAAATTAAAATTAAATTAAATTAAAATTAAAAAAATTTAAATTAAATTAAAACTAAAAAATAAATTTAAATTAAAAAATAAATTTAAATTCAATTTAAATTAAATTAAATTAAAATTAAATTAAAAATAAAATAAAATAAAATAAAATAAAATAAAATAAAATCAATCCCACTGCACTGGGAAGGGGCTGGGGAGCTCTGGTGCCTCAATCCCCCCCAGTACCTGTGGAGGGGCTGGAGAAGATCCCCAGGGCGTGGGTGTCATCCACCCACTGGATTTTGAAGCCACTCTCACTGCAAGAAAAGAAAATAATTTGAATAAATGTCAAGAAAAACAAAGCCCCAACAAAACGCAGCAGCCCCAGGAGGGTTCTCAGTGATTTATGGAGTTTCCCAAAGCATTATTCCCATTTTCAATGGGGGAAAGGGCAGGGAAAGGAGGAAAAATGACATTAAATGTGCCCTTTTTGAGGCCACAATATGAAATTACCCCAAATTCTCCTTTTCCTCTCAAACCCAACCTCAGTTTCAGGGATTGGCTTCCAGCACCAAAATATTGACATTTCTGAAGTGTTTCCCAGGCATAACAATGAAAACCAATTGATTTATGAAGTGATTTTGGGGTGAAATCTCATAAAGAGTCAGTGGAAAATGGGAATTTGAGAGCAGGAATTCAAAAATATTCCAATCCTTTTCTAGCTCTGCTTCACTCCCAGAGAACGGGAAAGGAAATTTGAGGAAGCACAAACAATGCAGGAAGAATTATTTCAGTATTATTAAAATATAAATTGAAGTCATTAAATTAAAATCATTCTTTCAGTTTTAAAGAATAATTTAAATATCATTTTAAAATGTAATTGATTTGGTTTAATTGATCTGTGGAAGGAATTTTCACAAGTAATCCAGGAATTATCCCAAGAGAGGAACTCAGCTCTGCCCTCACAGAAGAATTATTTAAAGCTGGGCTTTAAACCAGGATTAAACTGCAGCAAAAGCCCTTGAGGAACACAAAGAGGAAAAGGTGAAACAAAAATTCAGAATTTGGGTGCCAGAGCCATGGAGAAAAGCTGGGCTTTAAACCAGGCCTAAGCTACAGGAAAAGCCTTTGAGGAACACAGAGGGGAAGGTGAAACTAAAATTCAGAATTTTGTTGCCAGAAATGTGGGATAAAGCTGGGCTTTAAACCAGGACTAAACTGCAGGAAAAGCCCCTTTAAGGCCCACAGAAAGGGGAAGCTGAAACTAAAATTGAAAAATTGGGTGCCAGAAATGTACAGCAAAGCTGGGCTTTAAACCAGGCCTAAGCTACAGGAAAAGCCCTTGAGGCACACAATGAGAGGAAGGTGAAACTAAAATCCAGAATTTGGGTGCCAGAAGTGTGGAGCAAAGCTGGGCTTTAAACCAGGCCTAAACTGCAAGAAAAGCCCCTTTAAGGCACACAATGAGGGGAAGGTGAAACTAAAACCCAGAATTTTGCTGCCAGAAATGTGGAGCAAAGCTGGGCTTTAAACCAGGCCTAAACTGCAAGAAAAGCCCCTTTGAGGCCCAGAATGAGGGGAAGATGAAACTGATACTCAGAATTTGGGCGTTTGAAATGTGGAGTAAAGCTGGGCTTTAAACTGCAGGAAAAGCCTTTGAGGCACACAGAGAGGGCAAGGTGAAACCAAAACTCAGAATTTTGGTGCCAGTCCCAGCTCCCTGCCCTGCCCAGGCTCCCTGGGCTGTCACTCACTGGAAATCCGAGAACATTCCCAGCAGATCCTCGGTTTTCAGGGACGAGGGGAAGTCGTAGATCTCGGTGACGTGGGCCAGGTCCCCCTCGCTGACCTGCGCCTCCCCATAGCCAGAGTAATCCACAGAGATCCTCTCGATGCTGATGTCCTTCACTGACAGGTTCCCAACGATCTGGGGAGACCCAAACAAGGATTAAATACAAAGCAATGAGCCAGGCTCGAGTTTCACCCCCTTGAGCTGCTTTGAGTGAGGGCTCACAAGCTCTCGGAGGTTTATTTCATATTTGAGATCGCTCAGCTGGCATGAAATCAGCAGGATGGCTTCTGTGGCAGTGCTGGGAACAAAAAGGATTTAATAAAAAGCAAAATAACAAACCCTTTACAAAGAAAAACTGATTTAGGTGCAAGAGGTTCTTGCTCCTGGTTAAACACCCTCACAAAAGTGATTAGTTCCTTTGTTCTCTTCTTTTTCTAGTGAATTGCTCAGGTGGGACTTTTTGGCTTTGTCCAATTGGCTATCCTTAAGTTTGAGGTGAAGTCCCCCAGGTCCTATGAGGTGACTTTTTTTTACCTAATTGAGAAGATAAACTTCTGGGCTTCTTTCCTTTTTGAGGGGACAAAAGCTAGTTTTGTCACTCAAAAACAAAAAGCAAAAATCAAAAACAAAAACCCCAAAACCAAAACCAAAAAGCAAAACCAAAACCAAAAAGCCCATTCCTCATCCCCTCAGAGCCCAGCCCTCACCTCAGCCACTCCATCCCCACCTGCACCACCAGGACATGGGATCCCCTCCCAGGGGCGCCTCCTTCCCCTTTTTTCCCAGATTTTGCCCCAAATCACCTCAGCCAGGAGCTCTGCCGTGCAGTCGTCCTCGAGGCTGCTCTGCCTCGTCCCCTCTCTGTCCCCTGCAGCCAAATCCAGGCCCCTCCTCATTGCCTCGGCCACACCGGAGCCTTCCTTGTCCTCCTCTTCCTCCTTCCCCTGGATCCGCCCCGGATCTCCCTCATGGAGCGGCTCAGGGGCAGCCGCAGCCTCGGCTGGGCCTTCCAGAACCTTCTGCAGGGGCTCCTGCTCCACCTGCCCAGCGCTGGGGCTGGGAATTCCCTGGGAATTCCGGGAATGCTGATCTGCCACCGTGTCTGTCACACCTGGGGCTGTCCTGCTGCCACCGTGGTTCTCCAAAGAGACACAGCTCCTCCCACACTCCGACCCTCTGGAATCCCGGCTGGATTGCTTCTCCTCCTCCAGCTGGGCCTGGAATTCTCTGCCTTCTGCAATGGTGGTGCTGCCATGGCTTGGTTCCTCCTCTCCTGCCTCAGGTGGGTGTTTGTTGTGTTCTGCAATGGTGGTGCTGCCATGGCTTGGTTCTTCCTCTGCCTCAGGTTGGTGCTGGTTGTGTTCTCGAATGATGCTGCTGCCATGGCTTGGTTCTTCCTCTGCCTCAGGTTGGTGTTGGTTGTGTTCTCGAATGATGCTGCTGCCATGGCTTGGTTCTTCCTCTCCTGCCTCAGGTGGGTGTTGGTTGAGTTCTGCAGTGATGGTGCTGCCATGGCTTGGTTCCTCCTCCCCCGCCTCAGGAGGGTGTTTGTGGTGTGCAGAATTTGGGGCATGGGAACAGTCCTCACCCCGACCTTCCCGCTCGCAGGAATCGCCACCATTCCCCAAGGACGGCACCTTCCCACCACGCAGGGGATGCTCAGCGCGGCCTCTTCCAGGGACACTCTCTTCCTTCCCAGGGCCGCCCCCAGCCCTGCCCAGCTCCTGCTGCTCCCGGCTGGGATTCCCGGCGCCGTCGTTCTCCCCTCCTGCAGCCGCCTCGTCCCCGGGGCTCTCCCGCTCCCTCCAATTCGCCTTTCTCCGGCCCCCTCGGGGCACGAACGGGGCTCGCTCTGGTTTCCTCCGGGGCGGTCTGGAGATCCTGCCCGAGCCCACGGTGGCGCGGGCGCCGTCCCCGTGCGTGTCCCCGGCGTGGCGCAGCCCCCGCGCCCCCCGGCCCCAGGGCTGCGCCGGGCGCTGCGCTCGGCCAGCGGGGGGACCCGGCTTGTGGTCAACGGAGGGCTCGCTGGGAAGCCTGGGAAGGAGGGGATGGTGAGAGGGGAGCAGGGGAAGCACAGGGGAAAAGGAAAAGAAACATCAAATTCCCAAAAAATCCCACTGTTCCTTGGGGTCTGGGGGGTGCCATTGGTAATGGAGAACCTGAACGGGACACGGTGCTGGAGCCCCTCTGGAGCCAGGCTGAGAGAGCTGGGAATGCTCCAGGAGAGCTCAGAGCCCCCTCCAGGGCCTGAAGGGGCTTCAGGAGAGCTGGAGAGGGACTGGGGACAAGGGATGGTGAGAGGGGAGCAGGGGAAACCCAGGGGAAAAGCATCAAAAAGGGAATTCCCAAAAGGAAAAATTCCCAAAGGGAAAATCCCGCTGTTCCTTGGGGTCTGGGAGGTGACATTGGTAATGGGGAACCTGAATGGGACACAGGGTCTTGTGCCTGATCCAAGGGCTGGAGCCAGGCTGAGAGAGCTGGGAACACTGCAGGGGCTCCAGGGAGAGCTCAGAGCCCCTTGCAGGGCCTGAAGGGGCTCCAGGAGAGCTGGACTGGGAAGGAGAGGATGGTGAGAGGGAGCAGGGGAAGCACAGGGGAAAAGGAAAAGAAACATCAAATTCCCAAAAAATCCCACTGTTCCTTGGGGTCTGGGGGGTGCCATTGGTAATGGAGAACCTGAACGGGACACGGTGCTGGAGCCCCTCTGGAGCCAGGCTGAGAGAGCTGGGAATGCTCCAGGAGAGCTCAGAGCCCTTTCCAGTGTCTAAAGGGGATCCAGGCAGAGCTCAGAGCCCCTTGCAGAGCCTAAAGGGGATCCAGGAGAGCTGGACAGGGACTGGGGACAAAGTAGAAGCATCAAATTCCCAAAAGTGGGAAAATCCCGCTGCTCCTTGGGGTCTGGGAGGTGCCATTGGCGATGGAGACCTTAAATGGGACACGGTGACTCTGTGCCTGATCCAAGGGCTGGAGCCCCTCTGGAGCCAGGCTGAGAGAGCTGGGAATGCTCCAGGAGAGCTCAGAGCCCCTGCAGGGCCTGAAGGGGCTTCAGGAGAGCTGGAGAGGGACTGGGAAGGAGAGGATGGTGAGAGGGGAGCAGGGCAAGCCCAGGGGAAAAGGAGGAGAAGCATCAAATTCCCAAAAAATCCTGCTGTTCCTTGGGGTCTGGGAGGTGCCATTGGTAATAGAGAACCTGAATGGGACAAAGTGACTTTGTGCCTGATGGATCAGGCTGGAAACCCTTTGGAGCCAGGCTGGGAGAGCTGGGAATGCTCCAGGGACTCCAGGGAGAGCTCAGAGCCCCTTCCAGAGCATGAAGGGGCTCCAGGAGAGCTGGAGAGGGACTGGGGACAAGGATGGAGGGACAGGACACAGGGAATGGCTCCCACTGCCAGAGGGCAGGGATGGATGGGATATTGGGCAGGAATTGTTCCCTGTGAGGGTGGGATGGAATTCCAGAGCAGCTGTGGCTGCCCCTGGATCCCTGGAATGCCCAAGGCCAGGCTGGACATTGGGCCTTGGAGCACCTGGGACAGTGGGGGTGTCCCCAGAAGGTGACAAGGACGGCACTGGGATGAGTTTCGGGTCCCTCCCAAACCATTCCAGGGTTTTGGTCGTTGCCAGCCCTGACCCAGGGGATCACAGCTCACCTGACAGCAGAGTGACAAATGACTGTCCTCCTCCTCCAGCCCTCTCCCACCGAGAAGCTGCTCAGCAACTCCATGTTCTCCACGGTCCTGTGGATCAGGTACCTGAGGCGGCTGGACAGGGGTGGGAACAGCAGCACCCTGCGAGGAGAGAGGGCTCAGGGCATCAGGAACGTGCAGGGAGGGATGGGGATGGTGGAAACATTCAATACCCTCATCCCTGAGGCATCCCCAGCACGGGGTTTAAATCAGAAAAAAGGCAAGCAGGACTTGGGGGTATTAAAGGCACAAATGACTTGTCAGATTTGCAAATGTCCAGAGACATTTTACACGTTAAATGGAGTGTGGGGAATGCCTGACCCAAGGCGTTGGCCTGGACTCTCCTTCCTGCTGTATCCATATGGGAAAAGCTGGGAAGCACCAGCAGAAAGCTGCTACTGATCCCCTCCCTCCCAGGCTGAGCCTAACTTCATTTCTCTCTCCACAATATCTTATTCTAAACATTTCTAAATCAATATTTATCCCAAAAATTAAATACAAATATATACTATATAAACCTTCCTTATATACAAATATATACTCTATATATGTATGTATTCAGTATATATATAGAGTATGTATTTAGTATATGTAGTATATATAGTATATATATACAAATAGATATATATACATTCTTTATATACAAATATATACTATATAAACCTTCCTTATATACAAATATATACTATATATAGTATAAATTTAGTGTACATTTATATTATATATTTAGTATATATACTATATATATAGTACAAATTTAGTATATATATTATATATTTAGTATATATACTATATATATAGAATATATTTAGTATATATATAGTATATATTTAGTATGTATACTATATATATACTATATATAGTATATATTTAGTATATATACTATATATAGTATATATATACTATATATATACAAATATATATATACATATATATACATTCTTTATATGCAAATATATACTATATATAGTATATATTTAGTATATAAATATATATATTATATATTTAGTATGTATACTATGTATTTAGTATATATTTAGTATATATTTAGTATGTATACTATATATACAATATATAGTATATATTTAGTATGTATACTATATATATACTATATATAGTATATATTTAGTATATATAGTATATATAGTATATATATACTATATATATACAAATATATATATACATATATATACATTCTTTATATACAAATATATGCTATATAAACCTTTATATAGTATATAACTATATATATATAGTTATATACTATATATAACTATTTACAAATACATACTATAAATATATAAACCTTCTATCAAACTTTATAAATTTATAAATATATAAAGCTTCTATCAAACTTTATAAATTACAAATTTATAAATATATAAACCTTCCATCAAACTTTAAAATTCCCCCACAAACCCATTTCCCAGCTGGAAACCAGGAATAAACCAAGAATGGATAAATAAACTCCACGTTCAATGTCACTTGGTGTGTCCCCGAGTGTTTGACAATGGCACAGGGAATTTCTTTGCCAAATATTTTATTAAAAAAAAACCACTGAAACAAATATTTAAGGTCAGGAGAAGCTGGCAGGGAGCTCAGCTCAGCTCCTGTCCAGCACCCTGGGCTTGGCCACCCCAAGGCCTCCAAAGGTCACTGGGCTGGGAACAGCTCCAGGTGAACCCAGGACGAGCAGAAAGCCACCAAAGGCCACAAAGCCCCGCCTGAAGGGGAGGGGATCCCACAGCCGGACCCCAAATGCTGCTGCTTTCACCCCAGAAAATCGATGCCAAGCACGAGCCCAAGGTGCCCAGGTGTCCCTGGCACTGCCCAGGTGTCCCCGGTGCTGCCCAGGTGTCCCTGGCACTGTCCAGGTGTCCCCGGGGACAGTCAGGGACCCACCGGTGGTGCTGGTCCTGCTCCATGAAGTGCTCCAGCTCCTCCACGATCCTGCCCACGAACTCATCCTCGCTGGGCGACAGGAAAACGCCATCCATGGGGCACAGAGCCAGGGACAGCCTGCCGGGGGACAGGGACACAATGGAGGGACAGGGACACACATGGAGGGACAGGGACAGGGAGGGACAGGGACAGCCTGCCAGGGGACAGGGGCACGTGGAGGGAGGGACAGGGGCACAATGGAGAAACAGGAGCACATGGAGGGATAGGGACACACCTGAGGGACAGGGACACGTTGAGGGAGGGACAGGGACAGCCTGCTGGGGGATAGGGACACACCTGAAGGACAGGGACACCCGGAGGGACAGGGAGGCACCTGGAGGGAGAGACAGGGACACACCTGGAGGGACAGGGATACATGGAGGGACAGGGACACATCCTCCAGATGTGGGCACATGGGACGGGGGCATATGGGGCGGGACAGGGACACACGTGGAGGGCCAGGGACACACGGAGGGAGGGACAGGGACAGCATGCCAGGGGACAGGGACACATGGACATCTGGAGGAACAGGGACAGATGGAGGGACAGGGGCACATCGGGAAGGACGGGGGCACATAGAGGGAGGGACAGGAACACACCTGGAGGGACAGTGGCACACCTGAGGGAGAGGGACACACCTGGAGGGAGGGACGCACGTGGAAGGACAGGGACACGAGCACATGGAGGAAGGGACAGCCGCCAACCCCCGCCCACGGGTGCCCAAATCTCACCCGCCCCTGCGCTGGCTCCATCTGCACCCCGCTATCCCCAAAATCCCAGGGCCCCCCAAAATCCCCCAGCCCCGGGCATTCCAATTTCCCCCAGCCCCGGGCATCCCAATTTCCCCCAGCCCCGGGCACCCCAAAATCCCCCAGCCCCGGCCATCTCAATTTCCCCACCCCTGTGCACCCCCAGCCTCTCTGCCCTGCGTTATCCCCCTTTCCCGGACACCCCCATGCCGCTCTCCGCATCCGCCTGCCCCCCCATGTCCCAGCGCCACGTGCTGCCTCCCGTCCCCACCACCACCATCATCATCATCATCACCATCACCACCCGAGCCCCGAGCCCCCATCGCGCCCATCCCCGCTCCCGGCCCCACCGCGCCCCCGCTCCGCACCCCCGGTGTCCCCCCGGCTGCGGCCGCCCCGGCCGGGTCCCCCCGCGTCCTCACCGCCAGGCCCGGCCGAGCAGCGGATGCCGGAGCGGCGCCTGCGCCCGGCTCTGGCTCCTCCCGCTCTGCCCCGGCTCCTCCCGCCCGGTTCTGGCTCCTCCCGCCCGGCCCCGGCTCCTCCCGCCCGGTTCTGGCTCCTCCCGCCCAGGTCTGGCTCCTCCCGGCTCCTCCCGCTCGGTTCTGGCTCCTCCCGCTCTGCCCCGGCTCCTCCCTCCATATCCCGGCTCCTCCCGCTCTGCTCCGGCTCCTCCCGCTCTGTCCGGGCTCCTCCCGCTCTGCTCCGGCTCCTCCCGCTCCATCCCGGCTCCTCCCGCTCCATCCCGGCTCCTTCCGCTCTATCCCGGCTCCTCCCGCTCCATCCCGCCTCCTCCCGCTCTATCCCGGCTCCTCCCGTTCTATCCCGGCTCCTCCCGCTCCGTCCTGGATCGTCCTGCCCCGTCCCAGCTCCTCCCGACTGATCCGAACTTTTCCGTCCCCGTCCTGGCTCGTTCCCTTTGCTCTGGGCTCCTCTCGGCCTGTCCTGGCTCTTCCCCCTCATCCCGGTTCTTCTTCCCTCTCGCTCCCGGTTCTTCTTCCCCCTCATCCCCGGTTCTTCCTCCCCGCCCCGGCTCCATCCCCGGCAGCGCTCCTGGCCCTGCTCTCCCCAAACCCTCCCGGGCCGGGTTCATCCCCTGTCCCCGTTCGGCTCCGGGCGCTCCAGAATCGCCGCTGAGATCGGGGCAGCAGCCGGGGCTGATTTCAGCCTGTCCGGAGCTGCTTTCCCGGGATACAACCCCGGCCTCGGCTGTCGCGGGAAATAATCCCGGCCTCGGCTCTCCCGGGAAATAATACCGACCTCAGTTTTCCTGGAACATCTCCCGGTCTTTCCCGGGCAAGAGGAGCAGGTTCCAGTCTGGAAATAAAGCCGGGCAAGACATCAACCCCCAGCAGCCACATCCCATTATCCTCACCCGTGCTCGCTTCTCCCTTTCTCTGTTAAAGCCATTCTTACTAAAATTCCCGATTTTTTCTGGCTGAAAAATCACTTGAAAGTCAGCAGTCATTCCCTATCCTAGGCTGTCTCCCTGCAATTCCAGCTGGGAAAGCAGCACAATTCCACATCACCTGCACAGGGTTAATTCCCACACTCTCCCAGCCCAGCACACTCAAATGTGGCTGGTTTGGACTGGTATGGATTAGGAGGAACCTAATGGAATGGTTTGGATTTGGAGGAACTCCAAATTTTTTCCCCTCTATCTGCTGATTTCCACGTGGATTTGATGCTTTTCCTCCTTTCCCTCTTTTACAAATATCACTTTTCTCAGGCCCCTCTGCTCCTCACCCAAAAAAACCCCAGAATCTGTCCCCAGGTCACCCATGGCACATCCAGAGTTCCTGGAGTTTTTTTGGGATTACAGAGTGTTGGGATCTATAAAATTAGAGGGTTTTGAGAAAATGGTAAAAAAGATCTCTGCCCCAATCCCTGCTCTGGGATCAGCCCCAGCCTGGAATAATTTCACCCACCCCAATGTGGAATTTGGGATGGGAGAAGGGAAAAGAGGAGGAGGAAAAGGAGGAAGACGCTTCCTGGTGGGATTACAGAGGAAATCTGTGCAGGGAAAAAGGGAAAAAGGAGCCACATTCTGCAGCCAGGTAAACAAGGGGGTCTGTGCCACAGGCAGCCCCAGTCCCACCAGTTTGGAGCCGTTCCCATTTCCCAGTCTGCCCACAGGAATGTCTGTAACACACTGGGATTCCTTCCTGAGCCTGGCAGGTTTGGACCTGTCCCTCCTGGTGCTGGGTCAGAGCCGCTGCAGGAAAATAGCAATAATTAAACACATTAATTTGATGAAATAATTAAATACAGGTAATAATAGGACACACAGTGGGTCGCTTCACCCTCTTTGTTGTCTTTCCTTTGCAGTTCATCACAGACACACCGAGCTGGCTGCTTTCCCCCAACCCCTTTACAAACCATCCTGGATTAAGCACCAGAATTTTGCCACATGTATCAAGAAACTCTTCCAAAACAGTTCTGGGAAAAGCTGAGTGCTCCCTCCTCTCTTGTGCCAAGCCAGGAGTTCCCAGCACCACACAACACCCTGAATTATAAATATTAATTATAAATTAATACAGAAGTGTTCAGCATTCAGCATTCGCCTCTCTTTCCCCACCCAGGCTCAATGGAAGGTGCTGCTGGCCAGAGGGGGAACCCTCCCCAGCCAGACGGGGGTCCCACACTCAGGAAGGGCCTTCTGAGGTGGGGAGGAGCCCAGAGAAACCCTCTCCAAGGCCACCTCGGGGCTCTCCACCTGCAGCACGGCCTGGGGCAGCAGCTGGGGCGGGCTGAGGCCCTGCAGAGCCCTGTGGCCGGAGGTGTCGGGGTGGAAGGACACCAGCCCGGGGGTGTCGGGGTGGAAGGACACCAGCCCGGAGGTGTCGGGGTGGAAGGACACCAGCCCAGAGGTGTTGGGATGGAAGGACACCGGCCCAGAGGTGTTGGGATGGAAGGACACCGGCCTGGAGTTGTCAGGACAGAAGGACACCGGCCCGGAGGTGTCGGGGTGGAAGGACACCAGCTCGTTGCTGAAGGTCACCGTCTCCACGGCGCCGCCGCGGCACAGGCAGCCCCAGCCCAGCAGGGAGGCGAAAGCGGCGCGGAACTCGGCGTTGAAGGCGTAGATGATGGGGTTGAGGGCAGAGTTGGCCCAGCCCAGCCAGGTGAAGGTGCTGAGCACGGCCCTGCTGACGCACGGCGACGCTCCCGGGACGTGGAGATCGGGGTCGCAGAAGGGCACCAGGCAGTTGAGCACGAAGAAGGGCAGCCAGCAGCACACGAAGACGCCCACGATGATGGAGAGGGTCTGCAGCACCTTGGTCTCCTTCTTGAGGGAGTTTTTCAGGGAGGTTTCCCGAGGGTGGTCGCTCTGTCCCACCGGGGTCTCCAGGGAGGAGATGCCGCGGAGCTGGCGCCGGGCCAGGCGGAAGAGGCGCCCGTAGGTGCCCAGCATGATGGCCACGGGGATGTAGAAGCTGATGAGGGACGAGGAGATGGCGTAGGTCCTGCTGAGGCTGGGATCACAGCTCCCCTCCTCCGCAGAGCCGTTAAACCCCAGCTGCTCGCGGGCCTTGTGCCACTGCAGCTGCACGGGGAGGAAGGAGATGAGGAGGGACAGCAGCCAAGCCACCGCGATGGTGACGAAGGCCAGGCGCTGTGTCACCCTCCTCTGGTGTCGGAAGGGCTCGGCAATGGCCCAGTAGCGCTCGACGCTGATGAGGCACAGGTGAAGGATGGAGGCCGTGCAGCACGTGATGTCAAAGGCCACCCAGAGGTCACAGAAGGCCCCGAAGGGCCAGAAGCCCAGCACATCGCTGGCAGCTCTCCAGGGCATCACCAGCACGGCCACCAGCAGGTCGGACACGGCCAAGGAGACCACGAAGAGGTTGGTGACCTTGGAGCGCAGGTGTGGGAACCTGAGCACGGCCAGGCACACCAGGGCGTTCCCCAGCAGCGTGGTGAGGATGAGGAGGGACAGGCAGGTGGCTGTCACCACCCGCAGGGACAGCGGGGAGTGGCTTTGGGCTGCCCAGCCGGTGGCACTGAGCCCGTCCTGCCCAGCTCCTCCTGCCGAGGGGTAAAACCCATCCATGGCTGCCCCTTGTCCTGGACTGTCAAGCAAATTGTGTTCTGTTCACCATCTGCTCGTCAGCTGTCTTCTGTTCAGTGGGCACTTCTCCTTATCCCTTCCACAACCATCTGCTGATAAGAGGCCATTGAATGTCCCTGCACAGCTGATAAGAACTACAGCATCCCATTGGGAGATGTGAGCCCAGAGGGAGGAGCCAAGCATTCCTACCCGGATATAATCTGGAGATTCTGGAATGTTGGGGAAGATGGAACAGGAAAGCCTTATAAACATGATTGTCTGGCAAAAGATTTTGAGAATATGGAAACTATAAGTGAGATTGAAATGAAAGCAAGCTTTGAGATCCCTCAGTTACTGAACAATGGGAAAACAATGGTGTGGCTGGCTGAAGGTGATCCCCTTTTGATGGAACAACACCCTCTGCTTGCATGCAGCTCCAAGGCTCAGAGCAGACCCTACAGCTTGGCAGAAGGGCCCAAAGAGGAGTTTTTAGGGTTTAAAATGTAACACAGGATGGCAATGTAATGATTCTTATAGGCTGTATGGAAATGCTGTAGGATTTCTATATTGTATTGGATTGGTTAGTGAGAAGTAGAATATTCAACACAGAAGAAGATTTATTGTATTGGAATGGGAACCTCACTCTCTTACCCCTTTTACTCTCTTACCCTCTCATCCTCTCTCCCCCTCTCTTCCCTCAGCCTGCTCTGAGCTGTGCCTGGCAGCTCCCAGCAGGGCCCTTTGCAATAAACCCCAAATTCCAAGCCCTGCCTGCAGAGATCTCTCGTCTCCATCCATCCCAACCGTCCTACCTCCCGATGCTCCAACACTGGAACACCAGCACGGCTTCTCCACTGGATTCCCCAGAGGAGCAGCAGCTGCCTCTGCCCCTGGATCTTCAGAGGAGACTCCACCCTTGTCCAGGATCCCTGCTCCAGCAGAACCAGCCCTGACACTGCAGGAGGGCTGAGCCACAATTCCAACGGGACTGCTGCCAACACCCTGACCCACAGCGTGTCAGGTTGGGTTCTGACTCTGGCAGGGTTGGTTCAGTTCACTGCATTGTTTATTTTGTCCTTTTATTTTCTTCCCTATTAAAGAACCATTATTCCTGCTCCCGCCCATATTTTTTGCCTGAGAGCCCCTTAATTTAAAATTTATAGCAATTTGGAGTGAGGGGATTTTACATTTTCCATTTCAGGGGAGGTTCCTGCCTTCCTTAGCAGACACCTGGCTTTCAAACCAAGACACCCATTTATCCCTTCCTGCTGAGGTTTCTCAAGGCTCCATCAGCATCCAGAGCCCATTTTCCCTTTTCCCTGCTCCCACAGCATCTCCAAAGCCCCAGCTGCAATCCAGTCCTGCTGCCAGCCCAGGAAAAGTGCTGGAAGCTCTCAGTCCTTTCCAGGTCTCTGCTGACAGAATTTTTGGATTTTTGGATTTTCAGAGTTTGGATTTTCCCTCCTGCCTCCCATCCCAGCTCCCTTCCTCTGCTGCTCCCAGGAGCCAGAACTCACCTCCAGGGCTGGGGAGGCTTTGCTGCAAATCTTCTGCTGCAAATCTTCCTCCCTCTCCTCTCTGCCCTCTCCTCTTCACCTGCTGGTGCTCCTGCAGAATTCCCAGATCCCTCCCGTGGCCAGGCTGGGATTCACTGCCAGGAGCAAGAGGGGTCTGAGCTCCCTGTGCTCCTGCAGCCCCTCCCTGCTCACAGCTCTTCCCCTGGAGCCAAATCCCTCTGCCTTTGGCTCAGGTGGGATCCGACTCTGCCCAGGAGCTGGGAGAGATGTGAATCCACAGGGTGAGTCACTGGGAATTCAGTGAGAGGGTTCGAGGGGGGAAATAATCATTCCAGTCAGATTTGAGGGTCCTCAATGCAAATGAGCGCAGAGATTTATTGTGATTTCTGCATAAATGATGCCTGATTGCCGTGCCCAGGCACTGAGTCATAGCTCAGAGATGACCCCAAAGCAATCACTCCTCCCTGCCCTGAGCTGGTGCAAAATTGGCATTTACTGTCCACTGCAAAATCCCTTCTCCAGGACAAAAAATGAAAAAACACATCTAAAAACCCTGTACAAACCTGGAAGTTTTTATTTCTTTTTGAAAGTCCTGCACAAAGCAGCCTCAGATCTTTTTTCAGCACAGGTCACCTGCAGAACCAGTGAGGGTGAGGATAAGTTTTTTAATCCTTGATAAATGGATTTTACTTTCAGCAAAGCAGTGTAAAGTTTCTTCTTTTTCAAGTTCATCATGATTTCCTTAATTCCCAGCTCATTCCACTTCAGGGATAACTGGTAAAACTCACCAGAAAGTCAAGACCCTTTTCCAGTCAGGTGTGGATGCGGCACTTGGGGACACGGTGTGGGGGTGGCCCTGATGGTCTGAAGGTGTTTGCCAACCTTAACTCCAGAATTTCATATTTTGGAGCTCCTAAGGAGGAGGAGGAGCTGATTTATGTTTCAAAGAAGGATTTCCTGGAAGCCTCCTGGCTTGGGATGTGCCACCATGGGCTGCCACTGCAGCTGTGACTTACGGAGGTGACAGATCCAGTGCCACCCCTGCTCTCCTGAGAACAGCCTCCCTGCCAATGTGAGGTGGGGAAAAGCAGGACAAGGATTTGTAAATCCTGGGCACAAAACGAGTTGGTTCAGCTCTAATTCATTCCCTCTGTGCCCGGAATGTGATCCTGGAGCATCCCTGACCCTGCCTGTCCCTGTCACCTCGGGGGAAAGAGCCACCAGAGCACCCCGAGCTGGCTCAGCTGAACTCAGGTCCATCAACCCAGCTCTGCTAAACCCGGATCCATCGCCCCGGGATTGCTAAACCCGGGTCTATCCCCCTGAACCAGCTCTGCTGAGCCCGGATCCTTCATCCCAGGATTGCTAAATCTGGACTCATCACCCCGGGACTGCTAAACCCGGGTCCATCCCCCCGAACCGGCTGAGCTAAGCCCGGGTCCATCAACCCACCTCTGCTAAACCCGGGTCCATCACCCTGGAATTTCTAAACCCGGTCCATCACCCCGGGATTGCCAAACCCGGGTCCATCACCCCGGGACTGCTAAACCCGGGTCCATCACCCCGGGATTGCCAAACCCGGGTCCATCACCCCGGGACTGCTAAACCCGGGTCCATCACCCCGGGATTGCCAAACCCGGGTCCATCACCCCGGGACTGCTAAACCCGGGTCCATCACCCCGGGATTGCCAAACCCGGGTCCATCACCCCGGGATTGCTAAACCCGGATCCATCACCCCGGGATTGCCAAACCCGGGTCCATCACCCCGGGATTGCCAAACCCGGGTCCATCACCCCGGGATTGCTAAACCCGGATCCATCACCCCGGGATTGCCAAACCCGGGTCCATCACCCCGGGACTGCTAAACCCGGGTCCATCACCCCGGGATTGCCAAACCCGGGTCCATCACCCCGGGATTGCCAAACCCGGGTCCATCACCCCGGGATTGCCGAGCCAGGGTCCATCACCCCGGGATTGCTAAACCCGCGTCCATCACCCCGAGCCGGCCCAGCTGAGCCCGGGGACAGCGGGACCCGCCCCGATCCATTCCCAGCAGGGGCCGATGCTCCCTGAAGCCACGGCCGGGCTCGCTCTGGGTGTCCGGGCGCTCGCTGTCCCCGTGTCGCGGCCACAGCTCGGTTTAATTAAACCCCGGTTTAATGAGCGGCGGCTGCAGCGCCAGGCAGCGAGGGTAGGTGGCACCAGCAGCCGCGCCCGGAGCAGCGCCGGCCTCGGGAATTGGGGATCCAGCGGGGGAAAGGCGGGAGCTGGGACAGGGCAGGGGCAGAGCAGGGCAGAGAGCGGGGCAGGGTTCATCCCCCGAGGGGGGAATAAACCCCGGGACAGCCCCCCGAGAACGGGCACGGCCCCGGGGCTGGCAGAGCTCCAGGAGCGTTTGGACGCCGCTCCCAGGGTGGGATTTGGGGCGTCCGGGTCCTTTCCCTCTCAGGATACCCCAAGGCCCTCAAGGCAGATCCCTCACCCACCCAGGGATGCGCTGCCCTCGGTGCCCCACGGGGCATTTTCCTCCCAAGCCCCGCTCTGGGCATGAAGGTTTTCAGGAGCTCAGAAACAAGCACCGGGATGCTGTCACTGCTGTCACTGCTGTCACTGCTGTCACTGCTGACCGGGTGAGCAGGGTGGCAGCGCCCTGTGACACAGCAGGGGTCGCCCTGATCTGTCACACAAGGCACTGGTGGCACTGATCTGTCACAGCCCAGCAGGGTGGCACGGATCTGTCACACAGGGCACTGGTGGCATTGGATCTGTCACACAGGGCACTGGTGGCACTGGATCTGTCACAGCCCAGCAGGGTGGCACTGGATCTGTCACCTCCGTAAGTCACAGCACAGGGTGGCAGTGGCAGCTCCTGGTGGCACATCCCGAGCCAGGAGGCTTCCAGGAAATCCTTCTTTGAGACACAAATCAGCTCCTTCTCCTTGGGAGCACCAAAGGGAAAATTTTAGACTCAAGGTTGGCGAAGACCTTCAGACCATCAAGGCCACCCCACCCCGTGTCCCCAAGTGCCACATCCACACTTTTTGAACCCCTCCAGGGATGGTGATTCCACCCTTCCAGTGCCTGGCATTTTCCATGAAGGATTTTGTCCCAGTTTCCAATCTCAACCTCCCCGGCACAACCTGAAGGTGTAGGAAAGGATCAGGAAAGAATCTCCCCTTCAGCTGGGGATGAGATGGGATCCAGGGGATGGGATGGGATCCAGGGGATGGGATCCATGGGATGGGATCCAGGGAATGGGATCCAGGGAATGGGATGGGATGCATTGGATGGGATCCATGAAATGGGATCAGTGGGATGGGATCCATGGGATGAGATCCATGGGATGGGATGAGATCCATGGGATGGGATGGGATGGGATGGGATGGGATGGGATGGGATCCATGGGATGTGATCCATGGGATGGGATGGGACCCATGAGATGGGACGGGATGGGATCCATGGGACCCATGAGATGGAATGGGATGGGATGGGATGGATGGGATGGGATGGATGGGATGGGATCCATGGGATGGGATCCATGGGACGGGATGGGATCCATGGGATGGGATGGGATCCATGGGATGGAATCCATGGGATGGGATGGGATGGGATGGGATCCATGGGATGGAATCCATGGGATGGGATGGGATGGGATCCATGGGATGGGATGGGATCCATGGGACGGGATGGGATCCATGGGATGGAATCCATGGGATGGGATGGGATGGGATCCATGGGACGGGATGGGATCCATGGGATGGGATGGGATCCATGGGATGGGATCCATGGGATGGGATCCATGGGACGGGATGGGATGGGATCCATGGGACGGGATGGGATCCATGGGACGGGATGGGATCCATGGGATGGGATTCAGTTTATCCCATTTCTGGCATTTTGCACCGCACCTGCTGCAGGGTCCCTGCAGGTTCTGCCGTCACAAACCCAACCCAGCAGCTCCTCCTGGGAGGGATCAGATCTCCTCCCCTGAGGATCTGCATTATCTGATCAGCAACAGTTCAGCAGCTATTTTTTTCCAGGCTCAAGTTAAGCTCTATTTTAAACAGCTCTCCAGCATGAAAAGATTCCAGTTTGGTGTCAATTCAGCTCGAAGTTTTTATATTTAATTTCCTCACCCAGCAAGAGGCTGCCCTTGATTTCCTCTCCCTGCTGTCTCACCAAAATATCCTGAAAATTCTCCATTCAGGCACCCTGATTACATCCCCCACTCTGCATCAAAGGCAGAAAATTACCAGCCACTCCAAATAAAGCAGCAGCTGCTGGGGTTTAACTCCTAAATGTCGCTTCCAGCACGGCTGATGCATCCCAGGATTATGGGGAGTGTTTATTCCTGCAGGAATTTCCAGGGGAGGGACAAGTTCTGAGAGATCAGGGGAGAAAGGAGGAGGAGTCAGACTTGAACAACAAAAATCCAGGTTGTAGGTGAGAGCTGAGCCCTGTAAAAAATCCAGGGAGCTCTCCAGGGATCAGATCAAAGCTCAGCCAGAGGAAACAGCATCAACAGCCTGAGATTCCTGGTTTAGGCATTGTGGTTTCAGAGGGAAATTTGGGTTTTTATCCAGCAGGCCGCTCAATTTACATCGATTTTCTTCAGGCAGAGGGAAAACCAGTACCAGGCTCCCAGTCTGGGCTGCTTAATTGCAATTAGAACAAGAAGCTGGGTGAAAACTGCCCCAAAATCAGCTTTAGGAATTGCCTGGTACAAAAGCAAGGGGTGCATTAGAACTGATTTCCTTTTCTCCATGGGCAAAGGGTTGTGATTGTGAGCATTCAAAGTGCAGGTTTGAGATAAAAAAGAAAGGGAAGAATAAAGAAAAGTGGGAATTGTGTCCACAATGACACCAGGAATGAAGGCAGTGCCACCCAAAAAGCAGCAGAGCCTGCTCAGGAAATACAGACAAATTATTAAATGTGGTAATATTTAATAATGGGGTTTTTAAACCCAGGTTAGTCTGGTGGAGCAGGGGCTCAGTTTGGGTTTGGATAAAGCAGCCCAGGACTATCCCTGGATGCCAGCACAGCTGGATCAGCAGCTGGAGCAGGGACAAAGCACAGGAGGCCCCTGGGTCCCTCCCCTCCCCTTTGGTCACACACAGGCAGAAAACACCGAGGATTTTCTCCCATTTACTTCCAGAGGAAAGGAATACAGAGCTTCAAGTCATTGTACATCATTCCATGGGGACGTGAGAGCTGCAGCCTCCCCGCCCCTGGCAGGAGCCTGCACTGGTGAGCGGTGACAGAGGGGACACAGCCCCTGGGACAGCCCCAGTGCCACCCTGGCCCTGGGCTGGGACTGGGCGGGCACGAAATGGGCACAGGAGGGGAAACTCCAGCCGCCATTGCATTACCCCAAGGTGCCACTGAGGAGTGGGGGCTGGAGAGGCAGCGTGGAAGTGCTGGGACACATTCCTGGTGGTGCTGGGATACATTTCCAATGGTACTGGAATAAATTCCCAGTGATACTGGAATAAATTCCCAGTGCTGTGGGAACACATTCCCAGTGGGGCAGGAATACATTCCCAATGGGGCACGAATACATTCCCAGTGCTGAGGGAATTCATTCCCACAGGTGCAGGAATACATTCCAGTAGTACTGGAATAAATTCCCAGTGGTACTGGAATACATTCCCAATGCTGTGGGAATACAATCCCAGTGCTGTGGGAATAAATTCCCAGTAGTACTGGAATAAATTCCCAGTGGTGCAGGAACACATTCCCAGTGATGCTGGAATAAATTCCCAGTGCTGCTGGAATACATTCCCAGTGGTACTGGGACACATTCCCAATGCTGTGGGAATAAATTCCCAGTGATATTGGAATACATTCCCAGTGGTACTGGAATAAATTCCCAATGCTGTGGGAAATACATTCCCAGTGATGCTGGGATACATTCCCACTGGTACTGGAATAAATTCCCAGTGCTGCAGGAATTCATTCCCAGTGCTGCAGAAACACATTCCCAGTAGTACTGGAATAAATTCCCAATAGTGCAGGAATACATTCCCAGGGGTACTGGAATAAATTCCCAATGCTGTGGGAATAAATTCCCAGTGGTGCAGGAATACATTCCCAGTGCTGTGGGAATACATTCCCACAGATGCAGGAATACATTCCAGTAGTACTGGAATACATTCCTAATGCTGTGGGAATAAATTCCCAGTGCTGTGGGAATATATTCCCAGTGGTGCAGGAACACATTCCCAGTGGTACTGGAATAAATTCCCAGTGGTACTGGAATACATTCCCAATGGTGTGGGAATAAATTCCCAGTAGTACTGGAATGAATTCCCAGTGCTGTGGAATACATTCCCAGTGGTACTGGAATAAATTCCCAATGCTGTGGGAATAAATTCCGTGGTATTGGAATAAATTCCCAGTGCTGCAGGAATCCATTCCCACTGGTACAGGAATACACTCCCAGTGCTGCTGGGATACATTCCCAGTGCTGTGGGACTTCATTCCCAGTAGTGCTGGAATAAATTCCCAGTGGTGCAGGAATCCATTCCCACTGGTGGTGGAACACATTCCCAGTGCTGTGGGAATACAATCCCAATGCTGTGGGAATAAATTCCCAATGGTGCAGGAATACATTCCCAGTGGCACTGGAATAAATTCCCAGTGATACTGGAATACATTCCCAATGCTATGGGAATAAATTCCCAGTGCTGCTGGAATACACCCAGTGCTGCTGGGATACATCCCCAGTGCTGTGGGATACATTCCCAGTAGTGCTGGAATGAATTCCCAGTGCTGCAGGAATCCATTCCCACTGGTACAGGAATCCATTCCCAGTGCTACAGGAACACATTCCCAGTGCTGTGGGATACATTCCCAGTAGTGCTGGAATAAATTCCCAGTGGTGCAGGAATACATTCCCACTGGTGGTAGAAAACATTCCCCTGGTGGTGGAACACATTCCCGGTGCTGTGGGACACATTCCCAGCCAGGAGGAGGGGCACAGGGCTGTGATCCATCCACAGGCAGCCAGGCACTCCCCTGCCATGCTCAGCAATGCCAGGGAAGGGCACATTCCCCTCCTGGAGCTTCCCAGGCTTCCGTGGGCACACAGGGGTTAAAAGTGACCTGCAAAAGATGAGAGGGGCAGAGGCAGCCCTGGAGCAGCTGCAGCTGTGGTGCTCAGGGGTTTGTGCATCAAAAACATCCACAGGGGCTGGGCTGGGGCTGTCAGGGAACACACAATCCTGGGGGAGTGCAGTGCCAGGGCTGAAGGCAAAGCCAAGGCTGTTCCATGGGGCTGTGCCCTCCCAAGGGATCCTTTTATTTATTTCCCACCCCAAATCCCTCCGTGGCAGCTCAGAGCCAGCACCCTGCAGCTCCCCAGGAGTTTTGCTTACAGGGGTGATACAAAAATAGCCACCAGCTCCAATTTCAAGTGCCAGCAGAAAGAGCAGCCTCGGCCACAAGAGCCTGAAACTCCTCTGGGGGAATCTTTTGCAGGTCTCCCTTTTAAGGCCTTAATGTCATTACAGAGAGAGGGATTCTTTTGCCTTGTGCTTGCCCTTGCTGCCCTCTCTGAGCAGCACCAAAATCTCCTCAAACTGAGCAGATCCAGTGCCTGGCTGTCAGTGCAGGATCCAGAGGGAGGGACACAACAAGCACCAGGTGTTTAAGGGCAGGACTGATGTGCCAAGTGTTCTAAACAACCACACAAACAGCCAAATGTTGAGCCACTGCAACGCTGCTGCTGCTCAGATTCTCAACATCAGCCACAGCAAAGGAAGAGAAACCAAAATCAAACCCAAAACCGAGCACTGCTATGGACACAGAAGAGTTTTTATCTTGGCTGGAGTTGTGTTCCCAGAGGGAAGCCTGGATGTGGCAGTGACTTGGGGTCACGAGTCAGCTCGAGACCAGATGTTGGCACAGATGACAAACACCAGCTGGGGCCAGGTCCAGAGTGGATTGTCATGGCAGGAGCTCCTGCTGCTGAGCAAAGACAGATCCAGGAGGACAGGGCTGCTCCCCTCTCCTTGGAAGTTCTGGTCATCAGTTAAGGAACATTGAGACACTTCCCAAGCTGCAGCAACAGGATTCTGTTGGCTCTTCAGAGATTCAGTCCCAGAGCTGTTTTGGGTTCAGAAGAAGCAGAGGGAGTCTTTTGTGCCACATCTGTGAAGGGAATTGCAACAGAGTAGAGATCAGAACTCATCAAATCCATCCACAACCACCCAATAGCATTCCAGAGTGCCCAGGTGCTTCCCTGCTCTGCTCCATCCCCCTGGAATTCCATGTTCCATCCCCCTGGAATCTCATGTTCCATGCGGAGCATGTCATGCCCTGGAAATTTCCAGGGAATGCCTTGGAAATTGGGGTTATAACCTGCTCAACCCAAAGGAAAACTACAAGGCCAATCCTGTGGAATTGCTCATGAACAGATTCCCAAAAGGAAAATAAACTGTCCAGGACAGGTGTAGGGAAAGCTCAGTGTAAGCCCATAAACTCTGGTCATTCACTGTTACTGAATCATGGGGTATCCTGAGTTGGAGGGACACAAAAAGATCATTAATAAATCATAAAATATGATTTATTTATCATTCTTATGATTTATTTCCTTATCAGTAAATAAAGCCCAGCTTAAGCAGGCCTGTCCCACATGAAGAGCATTCCAGCTGAGTGCTGGACAAATCCTGTTTAGACAATTCTGGTTTATCCCTTCCAACACTGCCTGGCTTTGTACAACTTTGTTAAATGTAAAAAAGCAATTTGTCCAAGCAGCAGCTCCTTCACAGAGCCTTCAGCTCTCCCTCCACCCCTGGCAAAGGATCCAGGCAGAATTCCCAGCTCAGGGCTGGGTTTAACTCTGCTGAGCCTGGATCAGGCAGAATTCCCAGCTCTGCCAGATCTGGGTTAAGTTCTGCAGAGGCAGGATCCAGAATTCCCAGCTCAGCACTGGGTTTAGCTCTGCAGAGGCAGGATCCAGGCAGAATTCCCAGCTCAGGACTGAGTTTAATTCTCCTGAGCCTAGATCCAGGCAGAATTCCCAGCTCAGGACAGGGTTTAACTCTCCTGAGCCTGGATCCAGGCAGAATTCCCAGCTCAGGATTTGGTTTATCTCTCCTGAGCCTGGATCCAGGCAGATTCCCAGCTCTGCCAGGACAGGGTTTAACTCTCCTGAGCCTGGATCCAGGCAGAATCCCCAGCTCAGGATTTGGTTTATCTCTCCTGAGCCTGGATCCGGGCAGAATCCCCAGCTCAGGATTTGGTTTATCTCTCCTGAGCCTGGATCCAGGCAGATTCCCAGCTCTGCCAGGACAGGGTTTAACTCTCCTGAGCCTGGATCCAGGCAGAATTCCCAGCTCAGGATTGGGTTTAGCTCTGCAGAGCCTGGATCCAGGCAGATTCCCAGCTCTGCCAGGCCTCTGCTGCCATTCCCACCTCCAGCAGACACAGAGAGCTGCTCCAGCTCAGCTTCCAGCTCGGCATCAGAGATGGGGGCACTCAGCACCCTCTGGGGAACCGGAGGCAGATCCAGGGAATCCTTGCTGGAGTCCTGCAGGAGACTGTCCAGCTCCTGCTCCAGCTCCTCAGAGTCCATCTCTGCTGAGCAAAGAAAAAAGATTTTAGCTCCAAGGAGAATTCAGTGGCATCCTCACAGCACAGACTGAGACCCAAAACTGAGCTGTTATTCCTTCCCTCCATTGTTACTCACAAGGAATTTCCTGTACTTCTTTTAAAGGACTGAAATTTCAGTCCTGATCTCAGGGAGGAGAATTTTTTCCTTGGCACTGAGGCCAAGAAGCTCTGGCACCTTTCAGCAGAGGCAAACAAGCTGCAGCAGCAACCAGGCCAGAGGAAAAAGCTCATCACTTCAACAAAACAAAGCAGCAGCTGCCCTAAAAATAGATTTAAACCAATTTAAACCAACATTACCCAGCTTTGAACTAAAACCCAGCCCCGAATGGGGACCACGAGGATTTGGAGATGGAGAAACTGTCAGATGGCAGAAATCCCTGCTCCCATTCCCTTCAGGCACCAACTGTGGTGTTTTGGGAAGAGTTATTGCCCCAGGAAGGTGGGGAGGGAGCAGGGAAGGGAGGGAAAAGGGAAAGGAGGGAAAAAGGGATGGGAGGGGAAAGGGAAAGGAGGGAAAAGGGAAAGGAGGGAAAAAGAGAAAGGAGGGAAAAGGGAAAGGAGGGGAAAAGGGATGGGAGGCAGAAAGGGATGGGAGGCAGAAAGGGATGGGAGGGAGGAAGGAAAATAGGGAATAAGGGAAAGGAGGGAGTAAGGGACAGGAGGGAGCAGGGATGGGAGGGAAAGGGGAAAGGAGGGAAATGGGAATGGAGGGAGAAAGGGAAAGGAGGGAGAAAGGGATGGGAAGGAGCAGGGAAAGGAAGCAGCAAGGGAAAGGAGGGAGCAGGGAAAGGAAGGAGCAAGAATGGGAGGGAAAAGGGAAAGGAGGGAAAAAGGGACAGGAGGGAGCAGGGATGGGAAGGAGCAGGGATAGGATGGAGTAAGGGACAGGAGGGAGCAGGGAAAGGAAGGATCAGGGAAAGGGAGGGAGCAGAAAAAGGGATGGAGCAGGGAAAGGAGGCAGGAAGGGAAAGGAGGGAGCAGAGAAAGGAAGGAGCAGAGAAGGGAGGGAGCATGGAACGGAAGGAGCAATGAAAAGGAAGGAGCAAGGAAAAAGAAGGATCAGGAAAAGGGATGGAGCAGGGAAAGGAGGGAGTAAGGAAAAAGAAGGAGCAGGGAAAGGAAGGATCAGGAAAAGGGATGGAGCAGGGAAAGGAGGGAGTAAGGAAAAAGAAGGAGCAGGGAAAGGAAGGATCAGGAAAAGGGATGGAGCAGGGAAAGGAGGCAGGAAGGGAAAGAAGGGAGAAAGGGATGGGAGGGAGAAAGGGAAGGGAGGGAGCAGGGAAAGGAAGGAGCAAGGATGGGAGGGAAAAGAGAAAGGAGGGAGTAAGGGAACGGAGGGAGCAGGGATGGGAAGGAGCAGAGAAAGAGAGGGAGCAGGAAACGGGATGGAGCAGGGAAAGGAGGCAGGAAGGGAAAGGAAGGAGCAGAGAAGGGAGGGATCAATGAAAAGGAAGGAGCAGGGAAAAGAGGGAGTAAGGAAAAAGAAGGAGCAGGGATGGGAGGGAGCAAGGAAAGGAAGGAGTAAGGGAAAGGAGTGAGTAAGGAAAAGGAGGGAGCAGGAAGGAATGGAGTAAGGACAAGGAGAGAGTAGGGAAAGGAGGGAGCAGGGATGGGATAAAGCACAGGGATGGGAGGGAGTAAGGGATGGGATGGAGCAAGGGAAAGGAAGGAGTAAGGGAAAGGAAGGAGCAGAGAAGGGAGGGAGCAGAGAAGGGAGGGATCAATGAAAAGGAAAGAGCAGGGAAAAGAGGGAGTAAGGAAAAAGAAGGAGCAGGGAAAGGAAGGAGCAGGAAAAGGGATGGAGGAAGGGAAAGGAGGGAGGAAGGGAAAGGAAGCAGCAGGGAAAGGAGGGAGCAGGGAAAGAAGGGAGGAAGGGAAAGGAAAGAGCAGGAAGGAATTAAGTAAGGGCAAGGAGGGAGCAGGGATGGGATGGAGTAAGGGAAAGGAAGGAGTAAGGGAAAGGAGGGAGCAGGAAGGAATGGAGTAAGGACAAGGAGAGAGTAGGGAAAGGAGGGAGCAGGGATGGGATGGAGCAGGGATAGGAGGGAGTAAGGGACAGGAGGGAGCAGGGGAAGGGAGGGAGCAGGAAAAGGGATGGAGCAGGGAAAGGAGGCAGGAAGGGAAAGGAGAGAGAAAGGGAAGGGAGGGAGAAAGGGAAAGGAGGGAGCAGGGAAAAGAGGGAGTAAGGAAAAAGATGGAGCAGGGAAAGGAAGGATCAGGGATAGGGATGGAGCAGGGAAAGGGACGGAGCAGGAAAGGAGGGAGCAGGGATGGGATGCAGTAAGGGAAAGGAAGGAGCAGGGAAAGGAAGGAGCAGGGAAAGGAGGGAGTAAGGAAAAGGAGGGAGCAGGAAGGAATGGAGTAAGGACAAGGAGAGAGTAGGGAAAGGAGGGAGCAGGGATGGGATAAGCAGGGATGGGATAGAGTAAGGGAAAGGAAGGAGTAAGGGAAAGGAGGGAGGAAGGGAAAGGAGGGAGGAAGGGAAAGGAGGGAGCAGGAAGGAATGGAGTAAGGATAAGGAGGGAGCAGGCAAAGGAGGGAGCAGGGATGGGATAGAGCAGGGAAAGGAGGGAGGAAGGGAAAGGAAGGAGTAAGGGAAAGGAAGGAGCAGGAAGGAATTAAGTAAGGGCAAGGGGGGAGCAGGGAAAGGAAGGAGTAAGGGAAAGGAGGGAGCAGGAAGGAATGGAGTAAGGACAAGGAGAGAGTAGGGAAAGGAGGGAGCAGGGATGGGATAAGCAGGGATGGGATAGAGCAGGGATGGGATAGAGCAGGGATGGGATAGAGTAAGGGAAAGGAAGGAGTAAGGGAAAGGAAGGAGCAGGGATGGGATGGAGCAAGGGAAAGGAAGGAGTAAGGGAAAGGAGGGAGGAAGGGAAAGGAAGGAGCAGGAAGGAATGGAGTAAGGATAAGGAGGGAGCAGGCAAAGGAGGGAGCAGGGATGGGATAGAGCAAGGAAAGGAGGGAGGAAGGGAAAGGAAGGAGTAAGGGAAAGGAGGGAGCAGGAAGGAATGGAGTAAGGATAAGGAGGGAGCAGGCAAAGGAGAAGCAAAGGAGGCCAAGCCGGCCGTACCCAGCCCGTTGATCCCCACTCCAGCCAGGGTCTGGGCCACCTCATCTTGAGTGTCACAGAGCTGAGGGAAAACAAACACAACGAGATCCAGATCAGAAATTCATGTTGTGCCCTGCTGCGGCTGCTTTATCAAAAGCAGAAATAAAAAACAAAATCAGAAATTGGCCTGAAGGCAGCAGGAGTTAGTGCAAAATTTCCACCTTGGCTTTCACAAGGAACGTGAAGATTATTTCAGAATAAACAACACCACCAAGGATGGCTCATTGGAGGATCAAACCCAAAGCAGGATTTCACAGTGGGAGTAAAACTGTGTAATAAAACAAAGTAATAAAATGAAATTCAAAATTAAAAAGAAATAAAATAAAATTTTAAAAATAAATATAATAAATAAAAAAAATAAAATAAAAAAATACAATATAGTACAATAAAATAAAATAAAATAAAATACAATGAAGTACAATAAAGTACAATGAAGTAAAAAAAATTAAGTAAAAGTAAAATAAAATAATAAAACAGAAATAAAACAGAAATAAAATAGAATAAATAAATAAAAAAGGAATAACATAAAATAAAATACCAAAGTAATAAAATAAAAAATTTAAAAGAAATAAAATAAAATTTTAAAAATAAAATAAAATAAAATAAAAATAGAACAGAAATAAAATAGAATAAATAAGCAAAAAATGAATAAAATAAAATAAAAATAGAACAGAAATAAAATAGAATAAATAAATAAAAAGGAATAAAATAAAATAAAAAGCCAAAGTAATAAAATTAAAAAATTAAAAGAAATAAAATAAAATTTTAAAAATAAAATAAAATTAAAATAAGTAAAATAAAATAAAATAAAAATAGAACAGAAATAAAATAGAACAGAAATAAAATAGAATAAAATAAAATAAAATAAAAATAGAACGGAAATAAAATAGAATAAATAAATAAAAACAAATAAAATATAATTAAAAACCAAAGTAATAAAGAATTTAAAAGAAATAAAATTAAATTTTAAAAATAAAATAAAATTAAAACAAATACAATAAAATTAGAAATTAAAAAGAAATAGAATAAAATTTTAAAAATGAAATAAAAATCATAAATAAATAAAATAAAATACAATACAATTAAAATTAAAAAATACAATAAAATACAATAAAATAAAATAAAGTAAAATAAAGTACAATAAATAAAAAATAAAATAAAATAAAATAAAATAAAATAAAATAAAATAAAATGTCAGGCTGTTTCATGCACACAGCTCATTCCAGCTTCCAAATGTTTAATTTGTATTTTTAATCCACCTAAAGCCTTTCCAGGAAAGCTGGGTCCTTCCCCAATATCGCTGATCAAAAAACCCCAGAAAATTTAAAATAAATTAAAATACATTGCAGCAAAAGCAGAAGACACAGAAATCTTGCTGACGCTTTAGCTCAAAATTAACTCAGTTTGCTTTAGAGGGAAAAAACTAAATAATTAAAAGCACCCAAAGAATGAATAATTAATTAATTAATGGGCAGGTCTCTTTACCTCCTGGATCTGATCCACCAGGTTCTCTGCCCTCTCCACGGTCACATCCCTCATGGAGAGCTTGAGAGCCCCCACGCCAGCCTGGTAGGCATTGAACACCTGGAATTCAGATAAAACAGAGGGTAAACAGCTGGAAATTCAAATAAAACTGATGATAAACACCTGGAAATTCAAATAAATCAGAGGATAAACACTTGGAAATTCAAAATAAAATACAGAAAGATGCACAGTGCTGATGAGTTCCAGCCTGAAAGGCATTAAAGATTTAGAAATTAAAAATAAAAGATGAAGATGCACAGTGCTGATGAACTTCAGCCTGGTTGGTATTAAATACATGGAAATTCAAAATAAAAGACAAAAATGCACAGTGCTGATGGAAACAGTGGGAGCTGCTCTCCAGAGCTGATTCCCGAGCAGGATCCTTGGAGAAACAGCAGGACGTGGAGGAGCTTCATGCAGAGGGACATGGCCAGGTTAATGCCAGCCCTGGGGCCAAGGGGTGAGGGGGAGGAGCAGGGGAAGGAGCAGGGGAGGAGAAGGAGAGGAGCCCAGGGAGGAGCAGGGAAGGAGCAGGGCAGGAGCAGGGGAAGAAGCAGGGGAGGTGCCCAGGGGCAGCAGGGGAGGAGCCCAGGAAGGAGCAGGAGAGGAGCAGGAGAGGAGCAGGGCAGGAGCAGGGGAGGAGAAGGAGAGGAGCCCAGGGAGGAGCAGGGGAGGAGCAGGGAAGGAGCAGGGGAGGAGCAGGGAAGGAGCAGGGCAGGAGCAGGGGAAGAAGCAGGGGAGGTGCCCAGGGGCAGCAGGGGAGGAGCCCAGGAAGGAGCAGGGGAGGAGCAGGAGAGGAGCAGGGCAGGAGCAGGGGAAGGAGCAGGGGAGGAGCAGGAGAGGAGCAGGGCAGGAGCAGGGCAGGAGCAGGGGAAGGAGCAGGGTAGGAGCAGGGAAGGAGCAGGGGAAGGAGCAGGGAAGGAGCAGGGGAAGGAGCAGGGGGAGGAGAAGGAGAGGAGCAGGGAAGGAGCACGGGAGGAGCAGGGGAGGAGCAGGGGAGGAGCAGGGGAAGGAGCAGGGGAGGAGCAGGGCAGGAGCAGGGGAGGAGCAGGGGAAGGAGCAGGGGAGGAGCAGGGCAGGAGCAGGGGAGGAGCAGGGCAGGAGCAGGGGAGGAGCAGGGCAGGAGCAGGGGAGGAGCAGGGGAGGAGCAGGGAAGGAGCAGGGCAGGAGCAGGGGAGGAGCAGGGCAGGAGCAGGGGAGGAACAGGGAAAGAGCAGGGGAGGAGCAGGAGAGGAGCAGGGGAGGAGCCCAGGGAGGAGCAGGGGAGGAGCAGGGGAGGAGCAGGGAAAGAGCAGGGGAGGAGCAGGGAAGGAGCAGGAGAGGAGCAGGGGAGGAGCCCAGGGAGGAGCAGGGGAGGAGCAGGGGAGGAGCCCAGGAAGGAGCAGGGAAGGAGCAGGAGAGGAGCAGGGGAGGAGCAGGGAAGGAGCAGGGCAGGAGCCCTCGGTACCATCTGGTCGGTCTGGGAGGCGTAGATCCGATCCAGGATTCCCTGCACCGCATCCAGCTTGGAGTGCAGCTCCTCAATGCGCCGCTCCGTCCTCCGCTTGGCCTTGAGGCACCTCAGGGCCTGCCAGGGACACAAACACGGACAGAGCTCAGATCACACAGAGAGAGAGAGATCACATCACACACACACACAGAGAGCTCAGATCACACAGAGAGAGAGAGATCACATCACACACACACACAGAGAGCTCAGATCACACAGAGAGAGAGAGATCACATCACACACACACACAGAGAGCTCAGATCACACAGAGAGAGAGAGAGATCAAATCTCACACACACACAGAGACAGTGAGCTCAGATCACACAGAGAGAGAGAGATCACACACACACACACACACACACACAGAGTGAGCTCAGATCACACAGAGAGAGATCAAATCACACACACACAGAGATCAGATCACAGAGAGAGAGATCACACAGAGATCAGATCACACAGACAGAGAGCTCCAATCACGGAGAGCTCAGCTCACACACATACACATAACACACACACAGAGCTCAGATCACACAGAGAGAGCTCAGATCACACAGACAGAGATCACATCACACACACACACACACACACACACAGAGCTCAGATCACACACACACAGAGAGCTCAGATCACACACACACACACAGAGCTCAGATCACACACACACACACACAGAGCTCAGATCACACACACACACACAGAGAGTTCAGATCACACACACACACACACAGAGCTCAGATCACACACACAGAGCTCAGATCACACACACACAGAGTTCAGATCACACACACACACACACAGAGTTCAGATCACACACACACACACACAGAGCTCAGATCACACACACACACACACAGAGCTCAGATCACACACACAGAGCTCAGATCACACACACACAGAGTTCAGATCACACACACACACACACAGAGTTCAGATCACACATACACACACACACAGAGTTCAGATCACACAGACACACACACAGAGCTCAGCTCACACACAGAAAGCTCAGCAGACAAACACAGAGAGAGCTGAGCTTCACAAACACAGAGAGCTCAGCTCACAAACACAGATACCTCAGCTTAAAAAGAGAGCTCAGCTCACACAGAGCTCATCTTCACAAACACAGAGAGTTTAGCCTCACAAACACACAGAGATACCTCAACTCACACACAGAGAGCTCAGCTTCACAAACATACAGAGAGCTCAGCTCACACACAGAGAGCTCAGCTTCACAAACATACAGAGAGCTCAGCTCACACACAGAGCTCAGCTCACACACAGAGCTCAGCTCACACACACAGAGCTCAGCTTCACAAACACAGACAGAGATACCTCAACTCACACAGATACCTCAGCTTCACAAACACACAGAGACAGAGCTCAGATCACAGAGAGAGAGAGCTCAGCTTCACAGAGAGAGCTCAGCTCACACACACAGAGCTCAGCTCACACACACAGAGCTCAGCTTCACAAACACAGAGATACCTCAACTCATACACAGATACCTCAGCTTCACAAACACACACACACAGAGCTCAGATCACAGAGAGAGAGAGCTCAGCTTCACAGAGAGAACTCAGCTCACACACACAGAGCTCAGATCACACACACAGAGCTCAGCTCACACACACAGAGCTCAGATCACACACACAGAGCTCAGCTCACACACACAGAGCTCAGCTTCACAAACACAGAGATACCTCAACTCATACACAGATACCTCAGCTTCACAAACACACACACACAGAGCTCAGATCACAGAGAGAGAGAGCTCAGCTTCACAGAGAGAACTCAGCTCACACACACAGAGCTCAGATCACACCCACAGAGCTCAGATCACACAGACAAAGATCAAATCACACACACACACACACACAGAGAGCTCAGCTCACAGAGAGAGCTTAGCTTCACAAACACACACAGAGATACCTCAGCTCACACACACAGAGCTCAGCTCACAGAGAGAGAGCTCAGCTCACACACACACACATACAGAGAGCCCAGATCACACACAGAGACAGAGAGAGCTCAGATCACAAACACACAGAGAGTTCAGCTCACACACACACACAGATACTTCAGCTCACAAACACAGAGACCTCAGCTCACACAGAGACACCACAGCTCAGCTTCACAAACACACACACGGAGCTCTCAGCTGCACTCACACACACACACACACACACACACACACACACACACACACACACACAGAGCTCAGCTCACACACAGAGCCCTCAGCTTCACAAACACACACAGATACACCTAAGCTCACACACAGAGCCCTCAGCTCAGCCTCATCCACAAATCTGGAAAATCTCCCCTCCCCTGGGCTTATTCCCACTTTGGGGAGTCCAATAATTCCTGCTGGCACCATGGTGTGGGAATCCTTAAAATCAGAGGGGTTTGGGAAAGCTGCAAAGGGCAGGCCTCAGAGACAGCAGAACTGTGACTGGAGCTAAGCAATACCCATGAGATTTATCAGCAGAAAAGTTACATGAGGTGTAGAAAGTAAGGACAAATAAAAACAGTGGTCTGTGTATTAACACTTGGCTAGAATGACTCCAACACCCCTGGGATGAGGCCCCCAAGTTGATCTGCAGTTCTGGGGCAGCTCCAGGACATTGCCCTGGCAATGCCACTCACCAGCTGCTTCTTCCCAGCTCTGCAAGCACTCCTGGCATCCTCTTTACACCTGCAAGATGGAAAAAGGAGAAAGGAAAGGAAATTTCTTCCTTTTTTCACAACCCACAACCACCCTCCCTCTGTCTGAGGGGACCACAAGGTGCATTTTGGATACAACCACCCTCAAACCACTGCTGATTCCCACAAGTCCTTGACTGCATTCCAAATCCTTGCAAACACTCCCTGCACCTTGTTTTCACAGGGAACAGGGAACAAAGGCTGGGAAAGCTGCCCCAGCACACGGCTGTGACTGTTTTGTTTATGAACAGGAAACAACAACAAGGAGAAAGCAGCTTCTAATTGTGTCCCAGAGCTCTACATCCCACAGATGTTGTTCCCACCACCCTTCCCCAAATTACTTCTCTGCTTCCTGGGAAAGGGACTCCACCTTCTGTGACAGCAGCTGCTCACTCTGCATCAGCTGATAAACCCCAATGTCCACGTCGTTCATTGGGGACACCTTGGCGTGGAGGCCTCGGGCAAACTTGACAATCTGAAAGCACAGCACAGGCTGGAGTCACCCCCCAGAAATCTCAAGCAGGAATAATTTCACTTGGAAGGAAGGAAAAGAAGTTTTGGCACTCCCAGTTTAGGCCTTGGAGTCATGAGGATGTCCCAGTCACCAGAGGAATTAATGTTAAACGAGGATCAGGATCAGCAGTGTGGAAACAAAAAGCTATTATATTATATTATATTATATTATATTATATTATATAATATTATAAGAAATTATATGCTATATGATATTACATTCTATTCTATTCTATTCTAATGTATTATATGAAATTATATGAAATCCTATTCTATGATATCCTATTATGTCATATCCTATCATACCTTAAGGGAACACCTGGGAGGTTTAAAGCTGTGCCTGGACCCTGGAAGGGGATGGGAATGTCAGACTGCCAAGGGCTTCAGAACACTACAGGGAAAGGGGAATCTCAGAGCTGAGTGCCTGCACCTCTGCAGGAAGTGACAAACATCATAGAATATAATATATAATATTATTATTTATAATATTATAAATGTAAATATAAATATATATAAAATATTATATAATATATATGATATAATTTCATATTATATAATATGACAGGATATGGTATGATAGGATATGAGATAATAGGATATCATAGAATAGGATTTCCTATCAAGTAATGTAATATAATATAATATGAATAATATAATATAATATAATATATCATATAATGTAATTTCATATAATATAATATGACAGGATAGGATATGACAGGATATGATATAATAGGATGTCATACAATTTCATATCATATAATATAATTTCATATACTATACTTTCCTATAATATAATATAATATAATATAATATAATATAATATAATATAATTATAATTATAATATATCATATCATGTAATTTCATATAATATAATATGACAGGATAGGATATGATAGGATATGATATAATAGGATGCCATATAATTTCATATAATACAATGTAATTTCCTATAATATAATTTCATATAATTTTATATACTTTCATATAATTTCATATAATATACTTTCCTATAATTTCCTATAATATAAAATAAAATAAAATAAAATAATATAATATAATATAATTTCTTATATCATATCATATAATTTCATATGATATGATATGATTTCATATAATATAGTATGATATAATTTCATATCATATAATATAATACGATATAATTTCATATAATATGATATTATATGAAAAGCTTTTCAAAACCATGGAATTCCACGCTGATTCGAGAGGTGTGGAGTTTGTGTGGCTGGGAATTGTCAACCTGCAGGGTCTGCCATGGTTTTAACTCTTCAATTAAATCTGAATTGTTATAAATGTTTAAAAAACCTACTGTCACCATGATATTTTCTGAAAAATCCCTTTGCCAGGATTTCTTCTCCTGAGAAGATGAGAAACCTCAGCTCCTCCATGTCCTGCTCCTCTGATGTGGTCTGGAGATTGTTTATCCACACATGTGAATTGTTTTCAATTAATGACCAATCACCATCCCCTTTGTTGGACTCTGAGGAGTCAGTCATGAGCTTTCATGATTATTTTTCCCAGCCTTCTGATGTGTCCCTTCCCTTTCTATAGTATAGTTTTAGTATATAATTAATATCATATCATATTGTATGATTTCATATAATATAATATGACACGATTTCATATGATATAATAGGATATGGTATGATAGGATAACATATAATTTCATATAATATAATATAATTTCATATAATATAATGTGATGTAATGTAATGTAATATTATATTATATTATATGATTTCATATAATTTCATATAATATATTAGAATAGAATAGAATGTAATATCATATACCATATAATTTCTTATAATATAATTTCATATTATATTATATTATATTATATTATATTATATTATATTATTTCATATCATATAATTTCATATAATATATTATAATAGAATAGAATGTAATATAATATGATGTAATATTATATGATATGATAGGATATTATATGATATTATATATGATATATGATATAGGATATATGATATAGGATATGATATAGGATATGATAGGATATGATAGGATATGGTATGACAAGATATGATATAATAGGATATTATATAATTTCATATAATATAATAGAATAGAATGTAATAGAACAGAATGTAATAGAATAGAATGTAATATAATATAATATAATATAATATCATATCATATCATATCATATCACATCATATAATTTCATATGATATGATATTATTTCATAGAATAGAATAGAATATGATATGATATTATATGATATAACAGGATATAATAGGATATGACAGGATATGGTATGACAGGATATGATATAATAGGATATCATATAATTTCATATAATATAATATAATATAATATAATATAATATAATATAATATAATAACATATGATATAATGTAATTTCTTATAATATATTATATAATATCATACAATTTCATATGATAGGATATTATTTCATATAATATAATATGATATAATTTCATATAATATTATAGGATATGATAGGATATCGTTTAATAGGATATAATATAATAGGATTTCATATAATTTAATATAGCATAACATTCTATCAGCCTTCTGAGGACATGGAGTCAAATCCTCATCTCTCACCTCATCCTGGGGGCCTCACACCACCACCTGCCATGCCACAATTAGGATTTCCTGTCACCTACACCCACACTGAAGCACGTGGAATTTACCTTTCCAGCCAGAGCACACCCATTTCAGCCACCAGAACGCCTACAATCCATTCCTCTCCAGTGTCACAGACATTCTTTCATAGAAATCCTTTCTTTGGGATTTGTGCATCTTCTGGGAAGCAAAGACCCCAGAAGAGAATGTAAACAATTGTTATCAGCTGCTGTGAGATGCAATAGGATGCACCTGTGATTGGTTCATGTTCCATGTGTACAATTAAGGGCCAATCACAGGAGCAAGCTCGGGGAAAGATTCCCTGGACACAGAACTTTGTTATGGATTCTTTTCTATTCTATTCTTAGCTTAGCAAGCCTCTGCAACTTCTCTTCATACTCTTTTTGATAGTGGAACCCTGGAAAAAGTTAAAGATAGAATCTAAAATGTTAGGCTTTGTGCTTTCCCAGATCAACTGCACCTGCGTAAGCAGTATGATAAATTATATAACTGTTAGATGTGATGATTGTTTAGTAATTAAATGTAATTATTATATAACCATAAGAAGAATAGTGAGAAACTATGTTGGAAATTCAGAGAGGGGCTAAATTTATGTATGCAATAGAACAATATAAGTTTAATAATTAACATGAAAGTTATGTAACGATAGAGTATAAAACAGGATCATTTGGGATGTATGGTCGGAGTCAGATTTGGGTTGAATATGCCCCGATTCCCAGAGCTCTTAATAAAAAGCACCGCATATAATCCCCCGTGATTATGTGTTTTTGAACACTAACATTTTTAGTATAATGTATTATATATCATATATCAAGAAATCCAGCCTTCTGATCATCAAACAAGATTCTCATCCTTCTCTCACCCCAGCAACCTCATCATGTTGGAAAAAGAAATGAAATTTAGTGAAATGTTTAATTACAGTTTAGGTATGAGTTGTGTGCGAATTGGTTTGTTAAAAACAGTTCTGTAGCCGTCGATAGTATGTGTTGGGTTTCGTGTGTAACTTAGCAGGTAGTCTTAGGAACTTAATAAATATTTAAACTAGTGTAAGAAAGTAAGAATGCTAACCTGTCTGGAGGCAGCATACAATGTTCTTAGAATAAGATAAGCAGAAGATTTATGATTTTGTTTGTGAACTAAGGAATGTATCACAAGGGGTCTGTTGCTAGTCAAGGGGAACTGTTTCTTGGAGACCTTGTTATGAATTGCATGTATAAAAAGGAAGCACCTGTGTGTGAAGTTGGGGCTCTGACTTGGGACGCTAGTCCACAGGCTCCCGGGCCCTTAATAAAGCACCCACAAAACTTATCCGAGTTTTGTGTCCTTTATCAATCGGGCAACAATCAGGCCGCTGTAATACTCCAGGCAGATGGAAGCAAGACAGGGATGACACCACCCCAAAGCAGTCACCTGGACCCTGTACCTTCTCTCCATTCTGCTCCAGGATGGTGACCCTCTTCTCCTTCTGCAGCTGCAGCAGCAGCAGGTAGAAGGTTCTCTCGTCGGGGCACAGGCCGGCGCACAGGGAGCGCAGCTCGGAGAGCGCCACCACGGGGTGCGACGAGAGGGCGGAGCTCTGGTACAGCCGGTAAACCTCCTCTGCCTTCTCCTGCAGGGAGCAGGCACACACAAACCTCAGGGGATTCAGGGGCTTTACAGGAGAGAAGTGTCACAGACATTTTTTCACAGAAATCCTTTTTTAGAGTTGTGCATCTTCTGGGAAGCAAAAGGCCCCAGAAGAAGAATGCAAACAATGATTATCAACTACTGTAGAATGCAATAAGATGCACTGTTGCAGTGTGTTGTAATTGCCTCTTTTAGACTTCCGGGTCCCTTCCCAGGTGTGGCAATGCCCCTCTCCCTTCCCCCTCGCCCCTTGCTGAGTGAGTCCTGTCAATCAGGCTCGTCGGTCAAGTTCAAAGGATGCCCCTCAGGCCTGGGGGTCATTGGCCTGTCTGGGTGTCATCTTCCCCTGAGACCCTGCCCCTCTCACCTGGTTGGGTGGCTCACCTGTCCCCTCCCCTCCCCCTGCCCCGGGAGCTTAAAAAGGTATTCAGAGCACACGGTCGGGATTCTGTTGGAGCTGTTGCTCGCGTTCAGACCTGTGTGACCATGGAATAAACCTCTGGATTAAACCCTCCAGCAGAATCCATCTCCTTTTCTCTTCACCATCACCTGAAGCCTTCCTCCTGAGGTAAACGGAGTTCCTACCAAGCCTGGACTTGTTCAGTGCCCAGCTGCAACCTCCAGCAAGCTAAAGGTGTCTCTGGGGTGACACACCACAGCTGCTGCCTTTGGCCCAGCAGCGAGGGTCAGACTGGCCCAGGCACAATCTACCTGGTAATATTGGGATTCATATTCCAATAGTTTTAGAGGAGCAAAGTGTCGCAGACATTTTTTCACAGAAATCCTTTTTTAGAGTTGTGTATCTTCTGGGAAGCAAAAGGTCCCAGAAGAAGAATGTAAACAATTGTTATCAACTACTGTAGAATGCAATAAGATGCACCTGTGATTGGTTCATGTTCCCATGTTTATAATTAAGGGCCAATCACAGGAGCAAGCTGGGGACAGAGTCCCTAGACACAACTTTGTTATAAATTCTTTCTTTCTATTCTTAGCTTAGCAAGCATCTGCAACTTCTCTCTTTATTCTATTTAGTATAGTTATAATGTATTATATAGCATATATCAATAAATCCAGCCTTCTGATCAAGAAACAAGATTCTTGTCTTTCTCTCACCCCAAGCGACCTCCTCAGGTCGCTGTAATAGTGAAGAGTTTAGTCAGAGATAAGCTTCACTGGAGTTCACTTCATCCAGGCTACCCATTTAGTTTAATTAAGAGTCAGTAGTTAACTAATAACTGATTGCTTGTCAACACAATGTTTGTTAGCTGGGTTTATAATGAAGAATATAGAAAATGATAAATAGCTTCTAGGAACATAAGACAATTGTTTTTAAGAACATAAGACAATTGTTTTTAGGAGCATAAGACAATTGTTTCTAGGAATATAAGACAATTGTTTTTAGGAGCATAAGACAATTGTTTTTAAGAACATAAGACAATTGTTTTTAGGAACATAAGACAATTGTTTTTAGGAGCATAAGACAATTGTTTTTAGCAACATAAGATGATTGTTTTTAGCAACATCAGACAATTGTGGCCTCCTCTGTTCTGAAACCAACTGAAGATGGGGAATGGGAGCTCTACCAAGGGTTCATTTGTCAGATTTGCATTGAAAAGGTAAAATGGTCAGAATGAGGAAGACTTCATTTACTTCCTCAGTTTGGGACCCCTCCCCATGAAAGGGACAACCAACCCATTTCAAACTACTCATGCTTAATACCTTTGGAACTAATTACCATGGGAAGCAGGGAATGGGATGCACCAAAGTTATGAATGTGTATTTGTATTTTGGGTGTTCAATACCTGTATGGATAAAAGGACTCTCCAAACACCTGTAAATTGTTTTTTGATTGCTGTTTGATTTCCAACTTTAAACTGTCAGAGAGTTTTTGGGTATCGGTACTAGATCAATATCCATATTGGGAATGGGATGTACCAAAGTTATCAATATCTATTTGTATTCTGGGTATTTGTATCAATATCAATATCTATTTGTATTCAATACTTGCATAGATAAAAGGACTCCGTGATCACCTGTAAATTGCAGTGTGTATTTGGGAGCTATCCTACAATAACTCTAAACTCTTAGAGAGTTTTTGGGTATCGGTACTAGTTCAATACCGATATTGGGAACGGGATGTACCAAAGATGTGAATGTGTATTTGTAGTTTGGGTATTCAATACCTGAAAGGACTCTGTGATCACCTGTAAATGGCAGTATTTGGGAGCTATCCCACAATAACTTTAAACTGTCAGAGAGTTTTTGGATATCAGTACTAGATTAATATCCATATTGGGAATGGGATGTACCAAAGTTGTGAATATGGATTTGTATTTTGGTTATTCAATACCTGTACAGATAAAAGGACTCTGTAATGACCTGTAAATTGCAGTGTGCATTTGGGAGTTATCCCACAATAAACACACACTTTCTAACTTTAAACTGTCAGAGAGTTTTTGGGTATCGGTACTAGACCAATATCCATATTGGGAATGGGATGTACCAAAGATATGAATGTGTATTTGTATTTTGGGTATTCAATACTTGTATAGATACAAGGACTCTGTAATCACCTGTAAATGGTGTGTATTTGGGAGCTATCCCGCAATAAACACACACCTTCTAACTCTAAACTGTCAGAGAGTTTTTGGGTATCGGTACTAGACCAATATCCATATTGGGAATGGGATGTACCAAAGATGTGAATGTGTATTTGTATTTTGGGTATTCAATACCTGAAAGGACTCTGTGATCACCTGTAAATGGCAGTATTTGGGAGCTATCCCACAATAACTTTAAACTGTCAGAGAGTTTTTGGATATTGGTACTAGATCAATATCCATATTGGGAATGGGATGTACCAAAGATGTGAATGTGTATTTGTATTTTGGGTATTCAATACCCAAAAGGACTCTGTAATCAACTGTAAATTGCAGTGTGCATTTGGGAGTTATCCCACAATAAACAGCCACTGTCTAACTCTAAACTGTCAGAGAGTTTTTGGGTATTGGTACTAGATCAATATTCATATTGGGAATGGGATGTACCGAAGTTATCAATATCTATTTGTATTTTGGGTATTCAATACTTGTATAGATAAAAGGACTCTGTGATCACCTGTAAATTGCAGTGTGCATTTGGGAGCTATCCCACAATAATCATACACTTTTTAACTCTAAACTGTCAGAGAGTTTTTGGGTATCAGTACTAGATCAATATCCATACTGGGAATGGGATGTACCAAAGTTATCAATATGGATTTATATTTTGGTTATTCAATACCTGTACAGATAAAAGGACTCTGTAATCACCTGTAAATGGTGTGTATTTGGGAGCTGTCCCACAATAAACATACAATTTCTAACTTTAAACTGTCAGAGTTTTTGTCTGTCACAGTTGGATATTGGTACTAGATCAACATCCATAACTTTTTAATAAATCACAGTGATGCCTTAGGATTCCACCTTTGGTGTTTTCCAGATCCTGCCCTGCCTTAGTGCATCCCTCTGAACTCCACAGAGAGTGTTGGTTACTGGTTTCACATTTTGGGCACACAGAACAATCCCTCCAGCCCTGAGATCCAGGGACACTCTGCTGCCCCAGGCCCCAAAAAACATCAACAAAAGTGAATTGGGGGAGCAAACTGGGGGTAAATTGCTTCATTACCTGGAGCTGTAATTGGACAATTAACCCCTGATATGTAAATGAATCAAACTCACATTTGTCTGAAAAACTCATAACCAATGTGCATCCTGGAGGCTGCTGACTGCCCAAGGTGTAGCTATTGGAAGCCTTTAATATTATTTATTATTCATAAATATTCATTCTTATAATTAATTATTAATATTATATCTCAATTTGTTATTTATTGTTAATCTATATTTATAGATTTGTTGTTATTTCTCTTTAATAATTATTTTTATTAATAAGTTTATTATTTATTGTTAATAAATACCCACTTTATTCTCTAGCTCTGTCTAGCCTTTGTTGTAGGCAGCCACCCCAAGGCATCCCAGGGATGCTCACACAGCATTCCTGCTCTTCCCAAACCCTCCCACACCTCCTTCCTCCCAGCCTGGACACTTCCTGCTTTATTCCGGAGTGAATTTCACAATGAGCCACAGGGAACTCTCCAAACAGTCACCCACAAAAACCAAAACTCTGCTATTGACATTCCCTGGAAAGCTGTGGAGCAGCACAGGAACCACACAGGCAATCAATCGGCTTCCCCTGCACTCCCTGGAAATCCCTCCCCAGGTTTGAAACAAATAAAAACTCCTGCTTTTAAAGATTTCCTGCATTTCTGCTGGACACAGTAACCCAGAGCAGCACAGCAAGGCCTGGGGCTCATTCAGCAGACACAGAGTAACTGAGAGAGAGGAGGGGCTGGGCCAGGAGCCAAGCCCATGGGAAAGCAGCTGCGACAATGCCCAGGGAATGTGGGCTGGGGGGATTTGGGGGGCCAGGCTGGGATCGATCCATCCCCTGGAGCAGATGGAGCTGGGCTCAGAGTTCCTCCACAGGAATGAGCACAGCTCCAGCCAGGCTGGGATCGATCCATCCCCTGGAGCAGATGGAGCTGGGGCTCAGAGTTCCTGCACAGGAATGAGCTCCAGCCAGGCTGGGCCTGTCCCATCCCTGCTCACCCCTGGAGCAGATGGAGCTGGGGCTCAGAGCTCCTCATGTCCTGAACAAGAATGAGCTCCAGCCAGGCTGGGATTGATCCATCCCTGCTCACCCCTGGGGCAGATGGAGCTGAAGAACTCTGAGCCCCATGTCCTGCACAGGGATGAGCTCCAGCCAGGCTGGGCCTGTCCAATCTCCTGTTCATCCTGAGAGAAAATGGAGCTGGGGCTCAGAGCTCCTGCACAGGAATGAGCTCCAGCCAGGTTGTGCCTGTCCCATCCCCTGCTCACCCCTGGGGCAGATGGAGCTGGGGCTCAGAGCTCCTCCACAGGAATGAGCACAGCTCCAGCCTGGCTGTGCCTGTCCCATCCCTGCTCACCCCTGAAGCAGATGGAGTTGGGCTCAGAGCTCCTGCACAGGGATGAGCTCCAGCCAGGTTGTGCCCATCCAATCTCCTGTTCATCCCTGGAGCACATGGAGCTGGGGCTCAGAGTTCCTCATGTTCTGCACAGGAATGTGCTCCAGCCAGGCTGTGCCTGTCCCATCTCCTGTTCATCCCTGGAGCAGATGGAGCTGGGCTCAGAGCTCCTGCACAGAACGAGCTCCAGCCTGGCTGTGCCTGTCCCATCCCTGCTCATCCCTGGGGCAGATGGAGCTGAGGAACTCTGAGCCCCATGTCCTGCACAGGGATGAGCTCCAGCCAGGCTGGGATTGATCCATCCCCTGCTTACCCCTGGAGCAAATGGAGCTGGGCTCAGAGCTCCTGCACAGGAATGAGCTCCAGCCTGGGATCCCCAGCACAGTTCTCACCTCCCTGGACAAGCAGGGAATTGTGTCCCTCCCTTTTCCTGGAGTCAGTGAGAAGTCACTGTCAGAGCCACGGAATGGTTTGGGATGGAAGGACCTGAAATCCCCCCCAGTGCCACCCCTGCCATGGCAGGGACACCTCCACTGTCCCAGGGGGCTCCAGCCTGGCCTTGGGCACTGCCAGGGATCCAGGGGCAGCCACAGCTCCCTGGGAATTCCATCTCACCCTCCCAGGGAACAATTCCTGCCCAACATCCATCCATCCCTGCCCTGTGGCAGTGAGAGCCATTCCCTGTGTCCTGTCCCTCCATCCCTTGTCCAAATCCCTCTCCAGCTCTCCTGGAGTCCCTGGAAGGGCTCTGAGCTCTCCCTGCAGTTTCTCATCTCCAGGTGAGCACCTCCAGCTCTCCCAGCCTGGCTCCAGCCCTTAGAGCAGCTCCATCATTTCCAAGGAACCTCCAAATCCCTTCCCATCCCCAAGGCACTCCCCACATCCCTCTCCAGGCTCAGCAGCACCAAGGAAGATCTGCCCAGCCCTGGAAATGACTCCTGGTTTTCCTGGAGATGCACAGGAAAAGCTCTCCACAACACTCACCTGCAGCAGCTCCACGTAAATCAGAACCTCCTCTTCCTCAGGGATTTTGCTGTCCCCCAGCACGCTGGAGAGGGTCCACTTGAGGGGCTTCAGGATGAAAACTCCCACACCCCACGAGATCCAGCTGCTGTCTACACTGGCCATGAAGTCTGACTCCCTCTGGAGCTTCCCACGTCTAGGGAGGAGATAATTCAGGTGGAACTGAACACAGCCAGTCTAAACACTGGATATCCTGCACATCCTCCACTCCAGTGGCATTTTCTATCACCAAATCCAGCTCAGGTTTGAGATTTCATTGCTGGAAACACACAGGTTTCCACTCCTCCCCTGCTTCCTCTGGATCCCAAGTGCTTTTTGTTTACTCTTTTTTCCCGTTTTTCAAGTTTCTCCCAGTTTTCTACTCAAAACTGATGAGGCATCAAAGGAGGGGATGAACAGGGAGGGTCAGTTTTAGGGGTAATCAGCCATTTCAGGAGAGCTCCGTTTTTATATTAAATTGCAACAACAGCTTCTCAAATATACTGGTTTTAATTTTCAGGTCACCAACAGAGCTCCTGCTGTTTGGAACCTCTTCGAGGTACCAATCCCGAGCTGCAATTTCACAGCATAAAACGTCTGGTTGCAAACACAGCTCAACACATCCCCGGTGCCCTCAGCAGCCGCGAAACCAAAACATTCCAGGGATTATCTCCCTGTTTAGCAGCGATATTCCTGTGGGAATATTCCTGTCCTCCCACACCTCCTGAGCTCTGACTCCCTGTCCAGCTCGGCCTCCCAAATTCCACACACACACCATGAACGACAATTGACAGAATCTCAGACTGCTTTGGCTTGGAAGGACCTTAAATCCCACCCAGCGCCACCCCTGCCATGCCAGGACACCTGACACTGCTCCAAGCCCCATCCAAGCCGGCCTTGGACGCTTCCAGGCACAGGGCAGCCACAGCTGCTGTGGGAAGTCCGTGCCAGGGCAGAATTCCCCCTCCGGGCGGGCACAGCGCGGATCCATCGCCAGCCGCATCCCCTGGCACCCCCCACACCCTGCCCGACCTGCTTTACCTCAGCAGCTCCCTGAGGACGGTGCCGAGCCCCAAGGGGACGCTGCCCCGCCGCTCGAAGCCGTTCTGCAGCTCCCTCAGGCACGTCCTCACCGCGCCCCTCCGCCGGCCGCGGGCCAGAACCAGCCCGACCCAGAAGGCCATCTTGCTGTCCCACTCGGTGCTGTTCACCTCGCGGCTCTGCTTGAAGGCCGAGAACAGGAAGGCCATGCGCTCGTCATCTGTCTCCCACTCCGGGGGCAGGTCCCCGGCCGGGGCCGGCCCAGGGGGGGCCTCCCCCGGGCTGCACATCTACGCGAGCCCCCGGCTCGGCCGCGGCCTCCGCCCGGCCCGGCCGCCCGCCCGCCTCAGGGGAGACGCGCACGGCGCACGCGCGGTGCCACCCCCGCGCCCCCCCCGCCTCACTCAGGGTGGGCAGCGCCGTCCCCCCCACAGCCCCCGCTGTGGTACGGCCCGGAGAGGGTCAAGGGCCCCGCCCCCAATCGCCGTGGGGTGACGTCAGTGTGACGTCATATATGGATGTCACAAAAGTGTCAAGGCCACTGGCGAGGGGGCGGGGCTTGGACTATTCGGGACTATATATAATAATTATATATATAGTATAGATTTCCCATCTATGTCATATACAGAATAAATATATATTTTTATCTTTCATCATTAAACATTATTATCATCATCATCATCATCATCATTCTGAATATCGTTATCATTATCATTATTACCTACTAATTATACTATTACTATATTAAATAATATTAATAGATCATATTATGTTATATTATATAATATTATATCATCTATAGGATTATATTATATCACATTATATTACAATATTCTCTTATCATTATATATTATATTATTATATTATTATATTATTATATTATTATATTATTATATTATTATAATGCTATAATTATTATAATCATAGTTCTATATTATTAATAATTATAATGAATACATAACATATAATAATAAATAATAATAAATGTATTATAACATAATGTACATATAGCATAAAGTTTATAATAAAATTTTTGTTAATGTATAATACCATAACTAAATCTTAATTAGCATGTAATAACGTAGGTATAAGTATATTCTATAATACTATATTATGTATAATATATTTAAATTATAGAATACAATATTATATATGTGATATTATAATCGAGTATTATATCACATAATGATACAAAATTATATTAGATGATAATATAATATTATATTATCAATATTTCATATATAATGGATCTAATTCAATATGTTATTACACAATATATAATAACGTGTTTATATATATATATTTATATATATCCCTGCTGTCCAGGGAAGGCAGCAAGTACAAGAGCTAGGATTTCCATGGATTAAACCAATCCATGGAAATGGAAAACAGGAAATGACTCAGGACAGGGAGGATTTATTTTTAGCTCCTTCCAAACCAAATTTTCCTATTTATTACTCTATTATTATATATAATTTTATATAATAAATATTACTTTATTTATTATAATATTCTGTATAATTATTTTTGTCATATAATATATATTATATCCTTTTTATATTACATATTTATACTTTATTACTTGAATGGTTATAATAGATATAATAGATAGATATAATTTTATTATTTTAATGGTTATATTTTATGTAAAATTGTATATTATATTTATTGTTATCTTTATTATTATATTTATTGTAATATGTTAGTATATATTCTATATTCTATATTCTGTATTCTGTATTATATATTAGATATTAGATATTAGATATTAGATATTAGATATATTAATCTCTCCAGTTCTAGAGTTCTAGCCCCAAAATAAAATCCTTTTGTGCCTGGAGCTCCGTTCCCAGCTGAGGCTCCAGCCTGGCTTTAAGGAGGGCAGGTTTTGGGGTTATCAGGAACAAAAATTCTGCTCCAGGAAGGAAAAGGATCCCAAGGCTTTGTCCAAAGCCAGGCCTTGACCTGGGGGCTGGAGCTGGGTTCCCACATGGGGGTGGAAAAGGCCAAAGGATGAGCTGGGCCTACGGTTGAGCTGGGCCTAAGGATGGGCTGGGTTGAAGGATGGGCTGGGCCGAAGGATGGGCTGGGCCTAAGGATCAGCTGTGCCAAAGGTTGAGCTGGGCCGAAGGTTGGGTTGGGCCAAAGAATGGGCTGGGCCAAAGGATGGCTGGGCCTAAAGATGAGCTAAGCCTAAGGATGAGCTGGGCAAAACGTTGAGCTGGGCCCAAGGATGAGCTGTGCCAAAGGATGAGTTAGGCCTAAGGTTGAGCTGTGCTGAAAGATGAACTGAGCCTAAGGATGAGCTGGGCCAGAGGATGAGCTGGGCCGAAGGATGAGCTGGGCCGAAGGATGAGCTGGGCCGAAGAATGGGCTGGGCTGAAGGATCAGCTGGGCCCAAGGTTAAGCTGGGCCCAAGGTTGAGCTGTCAATCCACAGCCAGAGGATGAGCTGTGCCAGAGAACAAGCTGGGCTGAAGGTTGAGCTGGGCCAAAGGATGAACTGTACCAAAGGATGAGCTGTGCCAAAGGATGAGCTGTGCCAAAGGATGAGCTATACCAGAGGATGAGCTGGGCCCAAGGACGAGCTATGCCAAAGGTTGAGCTGGGCCCAAGGTTGAGCTGGGCCTAGGGATGGGCTGGGCCAAATGATGGCTGGCCCTAAGGATGAGCTGGGCCTAGGCATGAGCTGATCCCGGCCGCTCCGGATCAGGCACTGCCCGGGGATGGATCCCTCAGCCCCTCCGGCCGCTCCCGCTGCAGGACAGGAGAGACTCGGGAGAGGGGGCACCCTGAGGGGAGCAAAAGGAGGAATTCCTTCCCTGGTTTCCATTGTTCAGCCCTTCCTGGGGAAGCAGGGATCCAGCACGGGGATTTGGGATGAGTTCACAAAGTTCACGGCTTGCCAGAGCTTTTTTTTTTTTCTGTTTCAAAGAGGAACTTGGAATTTATGAGCCAAATAATTCGTTGGTCAGGAGGAAGGGGGGGGGGATGGTCAAAATTATCATGCGGCCTCAGAGCCCTGCCAGGCACCAAAACAGGCAGGAGGCAGCACAGAACTGAAGGTAAAGTTGGATGGTGGTGTTCAAAAATAAAACACGAATGGTCACGTACCCAAGCAGCTCCCTGGGGTGTGCTGAGGGCCACAGCCCTGACAGAGACGCTCTGGGAGGGGAGATTAGAGCCTCACACAGCCCCAGCCTTTGAGAGAGCTGGATGTTGAACAAAGGAAAGCTGAGTCAGAGGGGATAGGAACGTTTTGAGGTCTGGATGTCAGGTGAGCCAGAGGAGGAGTTACCCATTAACTGAAGCTGATAAGGCTCAGATTCCCCAGTCGCTCATTTACTGCTCGTTCCCTATGGGAATTTCGCTCTCCTGACTCCCTTCTCTCCCCACCCAGAGGGCAGGAGTTCAGCCAAGCTCCTGCTCCAACCCTCACACTCATTTTATTCTCCACTTGCAGCAGAACTGAGCAAGCCAGGGGAGGATTTAAGACCCCAAAACCGGAGGGTCCCCTCTTCTTCTCACCGTGCTCAATTTCCCCCCAGTGCTGTGCTGGGGTGCAGCCTCCTGGCTCCGGGGCACTCTGGGTGCAGAGGGAGCTGCGGCACAAACAGCCTGGGGGTGATAAAGGCTGGAGGTCTGGCCCTGCGAGATAAACACACATCCCTTTCTCACTTGTGGCCAGAGCCTGCCCAAAACCCACCTGAAATGAAAACCACAGTGGTTTTTGTGGGATGGGAATTCCTGCAGGGAGAGGGAATGAGGTGTCTGCCCAGTGTCCCACTCCTGGGGGTGGCTGGGGACTGGGAGAGGGCGACCACCCTGAGCTCTCTGCACAGCTTCAATCCCACTGAGCTGCCTTTGTGCGAATATTCCCCCTGTGGTTTGTCGGCACAGATAACTCGGGGATGGGTTATAAACGGGGAGACTGAGACAGAAAGATAAAACCCTGTGGCTTCCCAGGAGGATGGGATGCCAGGCTCTGGATGCTGAGGGTGGCCTGTCCCTGCTGGGATGGCTGTGGAGCAAGCTGGCATGTTCTCTTCCATGTGGAACACATCCCGATTTTTCCTGGCTGAATTCAGGCACAGCAGTTCCCTAAAGAGCATCAGGTTGATTTTTCAGAGAGGATGGATCTTTCCCCATCCCATTTGCACATGGATTAGCATTGAGCTGTAGTCCTAGACCTAAACCTCGCTCTAGTTCCGCTCTAACTGAGAAAGGAATCATTCTCTGAGGACTCCGATGATTTCAGCTGCAGTCAGCGGTGCCCAGAGCACAGGACACATGGTTTTGGTTAAACAAAAGGCACACATACTTTTTGGGGCTTGTAATAGAAGCACCCACCCAGGAAACGAGCAGGAAGTTTATTCCTCCTCGAAATCCCATTTCTGCTCCATTAATTGTGGCACAGCCAGGCTGAATAATTCCCCGTGTGAGGAAACAACCCGGCGGCCGTGGCTTGTCCTGCCATGAGCACAGCCCGCAAGGAGAAGGTGCTTCCCAAATATCCACATCCAGAGCGGGTTAGCTGTGATCCTCCTCATCCAGCTGAATTCAAGGAGCCTTCCTGCCCTTCTCCCAGCCTGGGGTGCTCAGCTGCTCCTTGGCATGATGGAAGCACTGAGCACTCTGTTTGCTGAGCTGCATTTTTCATGCCTTGGTGCTGGGTGCATTTTTCAGGCCGTGTCCTGCAGATTTCCCTGCCTGAAGGGAAAAGTTAAACCTGCTTTTCTACACCCTCCGATGAGTCACCGGGGACGTGACAGGAAGGTTACTCACAGGGATTCAGTTTACTGCTAGCAAAACATTAACAAGACAGAGTTCTCTGCCCCAGAATCCTGATTCTGGAACGATTTGGGTTGGAAAAGCTCTCTTGGAGACCCTTTGGGTACTGGAAGGGGTTCTGAAGTCTCTGGTTCCTGTCTTTCCTAAAGCTTCTCTAATGCTCCATTCCAACACTCGCACCATCTCAGTAAAATCAGACTTTTCTTGGAATCTCAGTAAAATCGCCTTTCTTGGAATTATGTTTTCTCACACACACACTCCCCTGATTGCGTGCAGCACCAGAGCCGTTTGTGCAACAGCAGAAAGTCCAAAGATTTAACTTTTACGGTTCTTTTCCCTTTCTCTTGGAGTTTTGTCCCGCCAAAAAAAAAAAAAAAAAACAAAAAAAAACCCAAAAAACCCGCCACACAATGGAAAAATACCAACTACGAGAACTTCAATACCAACTACGAGAACTTCCCAGCTCTGGCGGCTTTTTTGCAAGACTTTTTTGCCTCCTCTGCGCCTTGAACCTCACCGGAATCCCACGGGATTGTCCACTTAGCACCCTTTTCTCAGAGCACAAAACCCCGCGGCTCTGCTCGCTCCAGGCCGGTGAGTGATCGTGAAAAAATGCAAGAGGAGCAGCAAAGTCGCGGAGAAATCATTCCCTGTGTGATTCGGGTGTTTCGAAACTTCTTCGGTCGCTTGAGCGGTGAGCGAAAATAACGAGTGGCTAAAACTGAAAGGAAGAGGAACAGCGAAAGCCAATTCGGCTTCTCCGAATTGGCAAAGCAAACCGCGCACGGGAGTTTAAGCGGTTTTGGAGAGAATGAAGGAACACGCCGAGTTCGCAGAGCCGCGCTGGGACAGCCCCGGGTCAGCCCCTTCTTGCCCCTCAGTGAAGTCACGCCCAGCTATAAAAGCTCCCGCTGGGCAGGATTAATTCATTCGGTTCGGCGTCCTGGGAAGAGACGGTCGTGCCCAGAGCCGAGTCCGGACCTTGCCCGGGCTGTGCCCGCTCCGTGCCCGCCCTGCGATCCAGCGCGCTCCGCTCGCCATGCGCTGGCACCGCCGGGGCTGGCTCTGGCTCTGGCTCTGCCTGGCCGCGCTGCTGCTGCTGCTCACGGTCAGTGGGGACGGGGCTCGTGGGGACCCTCCGGGAGCGCGGCCGGGGGGGTCCGCAGCCCTGTCGGGGCTGCGCGGTGCTGTCGCGACATGCCCAGACTTGCCGCGCTGTCGAGGGGCTCGGAGCGGGACGGGGTCCGGGTGGGACGGGGGCATCGGGGTGTTCGGGGGGCTGCCCTGGTGGGGCTCAGCCCGGCGGAGGGGGCTGTGTGAACGGGGGGAGCCCCTGGATGGAGGTGAGGGAGGTGGCGTTACCTGCGGAGAGCGGCGGAGGGGCCGCGCCTTTGCTGCGATTGCGGGGGAAGGGCTGGTGTGAGTCGGGGGAAACTGAGGCACGGAGGGGCTCAGCTGCTCCGGGGGGCGAAGGGGAGGGGCTGGGCCGCTCACCTGGCCTGGAGGGGGCGGGGAAAATGGGGGCGGTGGGGCTCAGCTGGCCCGGGGGATGGGGGGGTGGAGGCCATGGGGCCAGGGGGGTCGGATGGGCAGGGGAAGAACAGGGGGGTCGGATGGGCAGGGGAGGATGAGGAGGGTTCGGATGGGCAGGGGAGGACCAGTGGTGTTCGGATGGGCCAGCGGACCAGGGGGGTTCACCTGGGCACGGCACAGCGAGGTTCGGGGTACCGGCAGGATGCCGGGGGGTGGGCGGATGCCAGAACCTGGAAGGGGAATTTTCTCGATGGGAAAAGCGATCTCAGCCTCCCGGCTCCGAGCACATGGCCCCGGGGGGATTGTGACGGTGATAAAAGGCGGCAAACTGGACCCGACGCGCATTGCCGTGGCCGGCGAAGGGGATTTCCACTCCCTGCGCTCCCGAGCCGTGTTTGCCATTCCGTGATGGCATCTGGTGACACCCTTTGGGATGTTTTAACACGAGGAATGCTCTCGGAGCGGGAATGGAACTCGCCCAGACGATGTCCAAACCCTCAGCGCGGGGGTTTAGGACACAAAATTCCACCTGGGCATATCATGTTTCCCTGTGGATTGGATGATGTAGAGTTGGGGAATACCTGAACTCTGTTGTCGCTTGAAGTCAGGAGGATCCTGCCACGAGTTAGAGATCCTGCCCTGACTTGTATCCCAGGGCTGGCCTGTAAACCACGGCGGTGCAGGAGCCCATGGGCGCTGCTCCCCTGCTGGAATGACACCAGCGCTGCCCAAAACTGGTTTGCAGAGAGAGCCTCTCATCCAATTCATTCCCTACAGAATTTATTTAGACTGGCCTGGTAAAGTCAAGCCTTAAACTCATTCCCTAAGGGCACGCTGGTAAGAGCCTCAGGGTTTTAAAATTTTTTTAATCCCATTTTTTGGATGAGAGGGATGGGGAGCTGCTCGGTGGGGATTCACATGGCATATTGGTGGTGTGATATTGCATCATGTCCTGTCTCTTGCCTCATGGCTGGACACTGGCCATCCACTTGACGGATCTCTGAGCTCGCTGGAGCTCAAATTCTGCTTGCTTTGCGGGAATTCCAGGGGAAAATCCCACCCTGTGTCCTTGGAGCAGGTGACTCAGTTGCCTGCTGCAATTTATCCCGGTTCTCTTGCTGCCCTCAGAGGCTGCGGATGTGTTTCATCCTTTTCATCCTCTTCCATCTCCAGAGTTCGGCCAGGGCTGCAGGGTCCAACTCCTTTAGGGATCACCTCGGGAGAAAAACAAATTGGGGATGGAAGCAGGGGAAGTTCAAAGTTTGATGCTTTCCCGAGCTTTTTCTCCAGAACTGATCCTCCAAAGAGGAAAAGCTGATAAAGGATTCCTGTGCCTCTAATTCTTCTGCCTCCAGGCTTTTTTGAGTTGTTTACTGTGGGTGAAAACTCCTCCAACTGATAGTTTGGTCAGGGATGGCAGCAGGGTGCTGCGGGCTGATAACCTTATCATGCATGTGTTGTGTTCTCTGTAAATGTGAAAAACACCAATGACTTGTTTTAAAATTTTAAAAGCTTAATAGTAATAAAATGGTTATAAAATTAGTAATACGAATAGAGTAATAATAATTTGGACTGATAGTTTGGTCAGGGATGGCAGCGGGGTGCTGCAGGCTGATAACCTTATCATGCACGTGTTGTGTTCTCTGTAAATATGAAAAATGCTGATCAGTTGTTTTTAAAATTTTAAAAGTTTAATAGTAATAAAATGGTTATAAAATTAGTAATACGATTAGAGTAATAATAATTTGGGCAATTTGAATTAGGACAATATGAGACAATAAAACCAAAGAGTCACAGAGGTACATTTTTCTGGGCAGCACAAGCCCGAAAAAGGACACCCCCTAACAAAGGATGAACCCTTAAAAACAATAACCTGTTAAATATTCATACACTTCATAAGATGCATAAATTCCATTCAAACACAGGATTTTTTCTGGTCATCATCAACTTCTTCCTCTTAATCCTAACGGTGTCTTCGGCGTCTTCGAGGCGGGAAGAATTTTCTTTCTTCTGATAAGAGGGCAATAAATTCTTTTTCTCTGAAAGATTCAGGTGTCCTGTAGCTGCTATTTTGCTGTAGGTCCTTTCTTTAAAAAAAGTATCCTACTATCTTTTCTTTTGAAAAGAACTATTTTTTCTTTTAAAAAACTATCCCATAGTGTAGTTTCTATTTTAACATTTTTTATAACCTAAAACTATATTTAACACACTGCTTAAGAGAATTAATACAGCATTACTTTCTAACACAGCACATATAATATCCATTATAATATTTGCGAAAAGCCGATCATAAAACACGCATTTTTCACAGCAAAGAAATGAAATCCTGTGGCTGAGGGGCCCTCCCAACCTGCAGAAAACGCTGTGGTGTGGCTGTGATCACCCTCAGAGTGTGGCAGAGTTCAAGTGGGGAAGAAACATGGATTTTTTTTCCCCCCGTGGAAGGGATAAATTGTCCTTTCACTCCCAGGATTTCCAAAACCAGAATGGGTGAAGCTGTTGTGGCTGGAACTCCTCAAGTGGATAAAAAATTTTACAAACTTGCAAACGTTCCTAGCTGGAGAAAAGAGGAGCAGAGGCAGATCCAGTAGAGCCAGAAGGTGTTGGAGGAACATGGATTTGATCCATCTGAGTCAGGGTCCAGAGCTGGGCCCATTCCTGGCCTGGCCAGGGCTCTGTGGCCTGGTTGTGTTGGGTGTTTGTCCTTGCCATGGCCTCGATGCCTTAAGTTTTAACTTTCACATTTTTCAGACTCTGTGCTGCCCTCGATGCCTTAAGTTTTAACTTTCACATTTTTCAGACTGTGCTGCCTAGGTGTGCAGCTCTGAGCTTCATATGAAGTGTGGTGAGCTCTCTCCACAGAGCAGCTAGACAAAACAACTCCTTGTCTAGCCAAAGACAACCCATACAAGTTTCAGGCCCAAAAGCATAAACAATGGTGAACTGAGAGAAAAACAGAAATGATAGGACTTTGTAATGTAAAGATTGGACAGCTAATGGACCAAAACTTATAAAAGTGAGAGACCTCGTGGCTGGGTCGTCCATTTTGTGACCATTTTGCTTCATCTTGTGCGCAGCCCTGGCTGGGCTCTTGTGCTGCCCAAGGTGCATCCACTGAGGATATTCTTTTTATAAATCCCTGCTTTATTTTTCTGTCCAGCCTTCCCAAGGCATGGGCCTGGCTGGTGTAAGGTGGTAAGGTGGTTTGTGGTGCCACCATCACGCAGCCCCGTGACCTTTCCAGTTCTGCCTTTCCTGTGGCGGGAAGCTCAGGAGGAGGAGGAGGCAGGAACACTCCATTGTTTCGGTGTTCTAGGCAGCTTCTGACTCACGGCAGAAATATTTGCTTTAAATTCACCCTCCGTGTTGGGGAGGGGAGGGGAGAAGTGTCTCGTCCAGCTCGTGAGGTTGCGACATGTCTGTCCTGCCGCCCTGGTGTGAAAAATGCCAATCACTTGTTTTTAAAATTTTGAAATTTTAATAGTAATAAAATGGTTATAAAAATAGTAATGCAATTGGAGTAATAATAATTTGGGCAATTTGAATTAGGGCAATATGAGACAACAAACACAAAGAGTTATGGATGTCCGGGTACCTTTTACTGGGCAGCACAAGCCCAAAAAAGGACCACGTTAACAGAGGATTAACCCTTAAAAGCAACAGCCTGTTGCATATTCATACACTGCATACATTATGCATAAATTCCATTCAAATTCAAACACAGGATTCTGTCTTATCATTGTCAACTTCTTCCTCTGAATCCTAACAGAGCCTTCAAGGTGGGAAGGAATTTGTTTCTTCTGATAATGGAGCAATAAATTCTTTTTCTCTGAAAGATTCAGGTGTCCTGTGGCTGCTATCTCACTGCGAGTCCTTTCTTTAAAAAAAGGATCCTACATAGCATCGTTTCTATTTTAACAATTTTTATAACCTAAAACTATATTTAACACAGTACTTAAGAGAATTAATACAACATTACTTTCTAACACAACACATATAATATTCTTTTTAATATTTGCGAAAAGCCAGTCATAAAGTACATGCATTTTTCACACTGGTGAGCTTGGGGCAGCTTTATATCCATGGATATCCAGCTTTATATCCACGGATATCCATGGAGCAGCTCTGTGCTGGCCCAGAGGCCGATGGGATTGTCCCCATTGGGGACATTGAGGTGCCCAAAAGCCCCCAAAGCCCAAGGGGACAAACGGCCATTCCTGCAGAGCATTGTCCCCATCAGGGTGGAAAGATCTGAGGCAGCACAAAAAGGGTGTGGAGAGCCGAGGGAAATGTGACTTTTCTTCCTGATCCTCAGCAGAATAACAGGGAAAACAGAGTGGCAGCCCAGGGGTTTGTGCTGGGCACCGGAGCCGCCTTCCAGCCTTGACACGGGGCTGTTTCCTGCCACAAACCCTTCCTGTTCCCAAACATCCCCTTCCACTGGGGCTGTTGGTGCCCTCGGAAATTGGGGGAGGAAAAGGGTCCCTCAGAAACTGGGGGAGAAAAGGGTCTTCAGAAATCGGGAAGGAAACAGGTTGTTTTCAGAAACAAGGAAGGAAAAGGATCCTCAGAAACTGGGAAGGAAAAGGGTCATTCTCAGAAATTGGGGGAAAAAAAGGGTCCTCAGGAAACAGGAAGGAAAAGGGTTCTCAGAAACTGGAGAAGGAAAAGGGTCTTCAGAAATTGGGAAGGAAAGAGGTCGTTCTCAGAAATTGGGGGAGGAAAAAGGTCCCTCTCAGAAATTGGGAAGGAAAGAGGTCGTTCTCAGAAACTAGGGAAGGAAAAGGTTCTTCAGAAATTGGGAAGGAAAGAGGTTGTTTTCAGAAACCAGGAATGAAAAGGATCCTCAGAAACTGGTAAGGAAAAGGGTCATTCTCAGAAACTGGGGGAGGAAAAGGGTCCTCAGGAAACAGGAAGGAAAAGGGTTCTCAGAAACTGGAGGAGGAAAAGGGTCTTCAGAAATTGGGAAGGAAAAGAGTCCTTCTCAGGAATTGGAGGAGGAAAAGGGTCCTCAGAAATTGGGAAGGAAAGAGGTCGTTCTCAGAAACTAGGGAAGGAAAAGGTTCTTCAGAAATTGGGAAGGAAAAGGGTCATTCTCAGAAACTGGGAATCAAAAGGGACGTTCTCAGAAATTAGGAAGAAAAGGGGTCGTTAGCGACTCTTTGCCCTGCTGATACCCTGGCAGGCAGAATGCCCCTGCGAACCTCCACATCTCTTCTTGGCTTTGCCAAGGAAAACCTGGCCCTGTTTTGTGGGGGGTGCCTTTGGCTGAGGTGGCTCTGAGCCATCTCAAAGCTCCTCTCCTGCTTCACCGGGCACAGCAACTCTCACCCTGCTCTTTCTCCCCTTGCCCCATGGATTAGAGTGGTTTTTAACCCGAGGTTTTCTGTATTTTTTAGCAGGCAGCCCCTTGGGAAGCCAGTGCTGTTGCCCTGAGGAAGAGAGACAGCTTGGATCTAGGCTGGGGAGGGGAAGATGATTACTACAGGAAAAGCGATGGTTTCAATTGCAAGAAGTGCCCTGCAGGTGAGATGGTCTCAGCACTGACCCCACCTCTGCAGCCTCTCCGTGCTCCTGTTCCTGTCCTGAGGGGCAGCAGAGCTCCAGCTCTGCCCTGCTCCACTGTCAGGGATCTAAGCATTCATTCGGGGAATGTTTTCCTTTTCTTGGCTTATTTGCCTCTGAGCTTTGCTGGTGGGGGAAACACAGAATCCTTCAGGTTGGAAAAGCCCTCCAAGGCCACCAAATCCAACCTGTGCCCGATCCCCACCTTGTCACTGAGTGCCACCTCCAGCCCTTCCTGGGACCCCTCAGGGATGGGCACTCCAACCCTCCCTGGGCAGTTCCAATCCCTGAGCCCCCTTTCCATGGGGAAATTCCTGCTGTGCCCACCCTGAGCCTGCCCTGAGCCCCCTTTCCATGGGGAAATTCCTGCTGTGCCCACCCTGAGCCTGCCCTGAGCCCCCTTTCCATGGGGAAATTCCTGCTGTGCCCACCCTGAGCCTGCCCTGAGCCCCCTTTCCATGGGGAAATTCCTGCTGTGCCCACCCTGAGCCTGCCCTGAGCCCCCTTTCCATGGGGAAATTCCTGCTGTGCCCACCCTGAGCCTGCCCTGAGCCCCCTTTCCATGGGGAAATTCCTGCTGTGCCCACCCTGAGCCTGCCCTGAGCCCCCTTTCCATGGGGAAATTCCTGCTGTGCCCACCCTGAGCTGCCCTGGCCCAGCCTGAGGCCGTTCCCTCTGCTCCTGTCCCTGTGCCCTCCTGGCAGGAGCTGGGCAGAGCCACAGGGGCCCCCTGAGCCTCCTTTGCTCCAGGCTGAGCCCCTGCCCAGCTCCCTCAGCCTCTCCTGGGGCTCCCTGTGTGTTCAGAGTTTCCCTTTCCCTTCAGGCACCCACCTTATCAAGGAGTGTGAGGAGGAGGGAGGCTCCAGCACGTGTGAGCCCTGTGGACTCGGGGAATACATGGAATATCCCAACACCTTCCAGTCGTGCCAGGAGTGCTCCAAGTGCAGGGAAGGTACGAGCTGGGGGGAGCAGGGCTGGGTCCAGCTGAGCTCTCTCAGGGCTCAGTGTCACCTGCAGTGTCCCCAGAGGGTGGCTGGGGCTGCCACATCTGTTAAAGGCCACATCCCTCATGCAAAGCTTGGGCTGAGGCTCCACGCAGAGCAAGAGGATGAGGCTCCCAGCAGCACTGGCAGCTGCTGGTGGAGTTTGATGCCTGCACTGCTTTTCCCTTGTGGGGCAGGAAAAGCTGGCACTAACAGCAGGGAGGGACCTGGTCCTGCCTGAGGTGGAGCCAAGGTGGAGCTGTGTCCCTTCTGTCCCACAGATCAGGTGGAGCTGAGTTCCTGCCAGCTCCAGAGGAACACGGTGTGTGCCTGCAGGAACGGCACCTTCTGCCCCCCGGAGCACCCCTGCGAGATGTGCCAGAAGTGCCAGCCCAGGTGGGTCAGATGGGGAAGATGGAAAAGGAAAGCCTTATAAATATGATTGTTTGGCAAAAGATTGTGAGAATATAGAAACTGTAAGCGAGATTGAAATGAAAGCAAGCTTTGAGATCCCTCAGTTACTGAACAACTGGAAAACAATGGTGTGGCCACTGAAGGTGATCCCCTTTTGATGGAACAACACCCTCTGCTTGCAGACAGCTCCAAGGGTCAGAGCAGACCCTACAGCTTGGCAGAAGGGGCCCAAAGAGGAGTTTTTAGGGTTTAAAATGTAACACAGTATGGGAATGTCATGATTCTTATAGGCTGTATGGAAATGCTGTAGGATTTGTATCTTGTACTAGATTGGTTAGTGAGAATCAGAATATTCAACACAGAAGAAGATTTATTGTATTGTAACGGGAACTTTGCCCTCTTATCCCTTTTACTCTCTTACCCTCTCATCCTCTCTACCCCTCTCTTCTCTCAGGCCTGCTCTGAGCTGTGGCAGCTCCCAGCAGGGCCCTGCACTTGGCCCTTTGCAATAAACCCCATATTCCAATCCTAGAAGATTTATTGTATTGTAACAGGAACCTTGCCCTCTGATCCTCTCTTTTACTCTCTCATTCTCTCTTTACCACGCTCTTGTCTTCTCTCTCTTTACCTCTCTCTCCCTCTTTGGGGCCTGCTCTGAGCTGTGGCTGCAGCTCCCAGCAGGCCCCTGCACCCAGGTCCTGTGCAGTAAACCCCAAATTCTATGACCAGAAGAAGATTTATTGTATTGTAATGGGAACCTTTCTCTCTCATCCTCTTTACCTCTCTCTTTACCTCTCTTTCTCTCTCTCAGGCCTGCTCTGAGCTGTGCCTGGCAGCTCCCAGCAGGCCCCTGCACCCAGGCCCTTTGCAATAAACCCCAAGTTCCATGATCAGAAGAGGATTTATAGTATTGTAACAGGAACCTTGTCCTCTTTTACTCTCTCTTTACCCTCTTTACTCTTCCTCACTCTTTCATCTCTACCACGCTCTTGCATTTTCTCTCTTTACCCCTCTCTCCCTGTTTGGGGCCTGCCCTGAGCTGTGCCTGGCAGCTCCCAGCAGGGCCCTGCACCCAGGCCCTTTGCAATAAACCCCAAATTCCACACCCTGGCTGCAGAGATCTCTCATCTCCATCCATCCCAACACTCCTACAGGTGGCTCCTGTGGGGTTTGTGCTGCTGAGCCACAGCTGCTGAGCCCTCCCTGTGTCCCCTCTCCCAGGTGTCCCGACGGTCAAGTGGTGCTGAAGCCCTGCACACCCACGAGTGACCTGCAGTGTGGTCCTGACACGGCCACCTTCCCCTCCTGTGAGTGGGGAGTGCTGGGGGAGGGCTGAGGGATGGGGTGGGAGCTGCTGCTGAGGCTGAAGCAGGAGCAGCTGCTCACACCCTGCTTTGTCTGCTTCAGACCTCACGGGTGGCATCATTGCAGGGATTGTGATTGTGACTGTGATTGGGATCGTGATGATTGGGATTGCTGTCTGCTGCTGCTGTAAACACCACTGCAGCTCCCCAGGTGAGTGCAGGGGACCCCTGGAGCACCCACCTTGGCCAGGGGCTCTGCACTGGTGTGGGCTGGGTGGGAACACCCACCTGGTGTAGGAAGAGAGACCCCAGGAACACCCACCTGGTGTGGGAAAAGAAACGCTGGGAACACCCACGTGGTGTGGGAAAAGAGATCTTGGGAACACCCACCTGGTGTGGGCAGGGTGGACAGAGAGACCCTGGGAACACCCACCTGGGGTGGGCTGGGTGGGGAGACCTTGGGAACATCCACGTGGTGTAGGAAGAGAGATCCCAGGAACACCCACCTGGTGTGGGAAGAGTGGGAACAGAGACCCCGGGAGCACCCACCTGGTGTGGGAAGAGAGATCTTGGGAACACCCACCTGGTGTGGGAAGAGAAACCCTGGGAACACCCTCCTGGTGTGGGCAGGGTGGGAAGAGAGACCCCAGGGGCACCCACCTGGTGTGGGAGGGTAGGAAGAGGGTCCTGCCTAGGGGAAAAGGGATCACAGCTCTCTTTCCATCTTCCAGGGGATGGGAGCCCCTCAAGCAAGAAGCCCTTTGAAATTGTGGTGAGTTCCTGGGATGGCAGGGAGGAATGGCTCTGGTTGTGGGCTGGGGTAATGTCCCCTGTTCCCTCTGCTCCCGACTTGGCCAGCAGCTCCTGGCAAGGCCAGAGGAGCAGGGAGATGAGTTTCATCCAGAAGTTCCTGGGAGGGCTGGAGGACCAGGGGGATGATGAGTCTTACCCAGAAGTTTCTGGAAGGCTGGAGGAGCTGGGGATGAGTTTCATCCAGAAGTTCCTGGGAAGGCTGGAGAGGCAGGGGAATGAGAGTTATGCAGCTGGGAAGGCCAGAGGAGCAGGGGAATGAGGCTCATTCAGCAGCTCCTGGCAAGGCTGGAGGAGCAGGGAGATGAGTTTCATCCAGAAGTTCCTGGGAGGGCTGGAGGAGCAGGGGGATGATGATGAGTCTTAGCCAGCAGTTTCTGTTAAGGCTGGAGGAGCAGGGGATGAGTCTCACCCAGAAGTTTCTGGAAGGCTGGAGGAGCAGGGAGATGATGAGTCATACCCATCAGTTCCTGGGAAGGCCAGAGGAGCAGGAGGATGAGTCTCACCCAGCAGTTTCTGGAAGGCTGGAGGAGCAGAGGATGAGTTTCATCCCTGCAGGGTTCTGGTAGAGCTGGGCCAAGCAGAGGAGGTCTCTGGTGGTACGCTGGGTGTTTCCAGCCCCCTCCTCAGTGCCATTAACACTGTCCTGGTGGCAGTGCTGGCACATCCAGGATCCACAGTGGAGATCCCAGGGTAGGGCTGGGCTGTGCTCGCCCAGAGCTCCTCCAAGCTCAGGATCCATGGCCTTGGATCCATGGCAGGCTCCTGCCTTCCCAAACCACCACAGTTTGTGTTTCTCCCTTGCCACTGAACTCCAGTTTCAGAAGCTGCCGTGGTGCAAGAGAGAGAACAGCGGGAGAGAGGACAACATCCCCAACGAGCGCACAGAGAGGCAGCTGCATGAGAGGGCAGCAGAGAGACAGGTACGTGAGTGGCGCTCCTGCCCGGTGTGCCAGGCCAGGATCTGATCATCCTGGGGGGCTTCCAGGGCTGGGCTGCTCAGGGAGATGGTGAAGGGTCTCTTTGTGGGGTCAGCATGGCAAAATCTGCTTGTGGGAGTCGAGAGAGTCGTCGGAAGATTTAACGCTGAGCAAACACAGCTCTGGTGTCCCCATCTCGGGGGCCATTGCAGAGAGGAAACGTCGATGTCCTGGGGGTGGGTGTGATCAGACAGGGATGTCCTGGGGGTGGGTGTGATCAGACAGGGATCTCCTTGGGCTGGGTGCTGATCTCCTGCCCCAACAGCCCTGGGACAGAGGGAGAGGGTCTCCAATTGCTGCTGCGGCTTGGTGGGTGCTGTAGGACACTGTCATTGCAGGAGTGGCATTGTCATTCCAGGAGTGACATTGTCATTGCAGGAGATGCTGCCAAGTAAGAGTGAGAGGCCCTGGAGGACTCTGCTTCCTCCACCAGGGACTGAACCCATTAAAGGTGAGTGCTGGGGCCCAGGGGATGTGCTGGGGCTGGGACTGCTGTCCCTGCTGCCCCTGCTCTGAGCAGTCCCTTTCCCCTCCAGCGCTGAAGAACACCTTTTACACCTTTGCGGATAAAGTGCCCAGAGACTACTGGAGGAGATTCGGCCTCAACCTGAACCTGGAGGACATTGACATCCCCACGGGTCAGTCCACGGATGATTTCTACAACATGATGTGCAGGTGGCACAACAGGGTGGGCTCCAAGGCCTCTGTGAACACCCTGCTGGACACCCTGGAGCGCCTCAAGCTCGGTGGGGTGGCAGAGGACATCTGTAAGAGCCTGGTCCAGGAGCGAGGCTTTCAGTACGAAACGAGCTGAAGGAGCAGCTCTGCAGCTGTGAAATACCCAGAACGGTGAATTGTAGCTGTTTATAGCTGGCCTGTGCTCCTCTGCTCTTGAAGCCATCATGAGTTCAGCTGGGCCAGGAGGAGCTGATCCTCACGAGAAGCACAAGCCCCAGGCTCCCCTCTGCTGGAGTTACAGGTTCGATGTTGGTTCTTCCTCGTGGAATCCAAGCTGGTTTCTTGATTTCACTGGGTCAACACCAAGAGGTTCAACTAACTTCAATCTGCCTTGGGCCTTCTCTCTTGGAAGCATTGGTACTACCCAGATTTCTTTGGGATCTGTGCAGAGAAGGGTTTTTGGCATCCCTATGCTTCTGAACTGGATCATCCTTGATCTTCAAAGGATTCCTGGCATCATGAAATGGCTTCTGCTTCTAGAACATCTCTAAGTAAGCTTCGTTCTGCATGCTTGGTGGTTCTGCGAGCTCAGCTGGGATCTTGGGCTGCTTTTGTGACCTAAATTTTTAGATTTTGTTGGGTTTTTTTGTTTTTGTTTTTGTTTACATGGTTCTGCTTGTTCTTAGGAGCCAGTTTAAAACTGCGCTTGGAGGGGACGGGGGGGGATGATTGATTTGCACAATGGACACTGGGGTTGCCTGGGGAAAGGGACAATGCAGGGGTCACCCAGCCCAGCCCCCTGCCAGGACCAGGGATGTCTTCCTTCCCATGAGGCTGCTCCAAGCCCCATCCAGCCTGACCTTGAGTCTTTGCCAGGATGGGGCAGACTATCGGGGCAGCCTTTCTGCCAGTGTTAGCTCATTTTGAAGGATTTTTTTGTTAAATTTAATATAATGTGAATCTAATTTGGTTCTAAGCCATTCCCGTGTCCTGGCACTCCAGGCCCTTGTCCGACTCTCCTGGAGCCCTTTTAGGTACTGGAAGGGGCTTGAAGGTGTCCCAGAGCCTTCTCTTCTCCAGGCTGGACAATCCCAGCTCTCCCAGCCTGGCTCCAGAGGCGTTCCAGCCCTCCTCTGGATTTGCTCCAGGACTTCCACGTCCTTGTGGAGGCCCCAGAGCTGAGGAGAAGCGGAGAATCCCTCAGGTTACCCCGTGGCTGTGGGGTGGCTCTGCTGTCCCTGTGTGTGCCCCAGCGTGGAGGGGCGAATGCACTGAGCGTGAGCGTGCCCTGGTACCTCCTGCCCATCCCAGCCTGGGGGCAAATCCTCAAGCACTGCACCTCACACAGAGCTCAGGGACAACCCAGCTGGGAAAACAGCTGGGAAAACCACTGGATTACTTGAGCTGCCACCCCAGTGCAGCCCAGTCCATCCCCAATGTGATGGGAGGGTGCTGAGCACCCTCCCTGCTGCTCCCATTCCCCCACCCTCCAACAAGACAAGCAGAACTTTTGTACTTATTTATTTAGCAACTGTAAACATTACATATATTAACTTAAAAGTTTTATAAAAATATTGTTTTTGTTATGCATGGTTGTGTGTTTTTTACAGAGCTCTGGCCCAGCCAGCTCGCTTCTCCAGTTTTCTACATTTGTTTATGAAGGGTTTAATTTAAAAAAAAAAAAAAATCCTGATTTTCTCGTCTGGTTTGATTTGTTTTCCCCCCAGAACTCTGGTGAGGGGTCCCAATGGCCACCAAGCTCCAGGGTCCCAGTGGACACCAGCTGCTCCACGTGGCACTGGGCACTCAGCCCAGGGAATTAATGCTCAGCCACCCCACCAGGGACTGTCCCCAAGGGTCCTTTGTGCCAGGGAAAGCCCTCAGCAGCCATCCTGGCCTTTATTTACCCAGACCAGAGCCTTGTGCCAGAGCAGGGGGTGCCAGTGTCCTCGTGCCAGAAAGGGGGTGCCACTGTTCCCATGCCAGAGCAGGGGGTGCCAGTGTCCCCATGCCAGAGCAGAGGGTGCCAGTGTCCCCATGCCACCTCAGAGGGTGCCACTGTCCCTGTGCCATAGCAGGGGGTGCCACCGTCCCCATGCCAGAGTCGGGGGTGCCACTGTCTCCATGCCATAGCAGGGGGTGCCACTGTCCCCATGCCAGAGCAGAGGGTGCCAGTGTCCCCATGCCACCTCAGATGGTGCCACCGTCCCCATGCCAGAGCAGGGGGTGCCACTGTCCCTGTCCCAGAGCAGGGGGTGCCACTGTCCCTGTGACAGAGCAGGGGGTGCCAGTGTCCCCGTGCCATAGCAGGGGGTGCCACTGTCCCCATGCCACCTCAGATGGTGCCACCGTCCCCATGCCAGAGCAGGGGGTGCCACTGTCCCCATGCCAGCTCGGGGGGCTCCAGCTCCACCAGCCAGGGCTCTGTGTGTTGCAGTAGCTGTGTTGCAAATCCATGCAGTGCTTAGTGACAAAAGGGCTCTGCTCAGCCCCCCAAACGCCCCTGCAGCTGCTCCCCAGCCCCTGCACTAAAATTCCATGTTCAGGAGCGTGGGGCTGGGGTGGGAAGCAGGAGCTGCTGTCGAGCTGCCCGCAGGGTTCGTGCCCCGTGGGCACTGCCCTGTGCCCCCTGAGCATGCAGACCTGGGCACATGCAGGTTCAGTGCCAGGGCTCGGGCAAGGCAAACAGGACTCGGAAGCAGCGGGGAGTGCCCAGGTTGTGTGCAAAGGACGGAAAGTCGTGCTCGTACCTGCTGCCCGGGGCTGCCGAGGGACACAGCAGCGAGGGCGAGGAGCCCCCTCGCTCCTGCAGCGAGGCTGAGGGCCGCCATGCACAGGGGAGGCTCCAGGGGCCAGGGGAGCACAGTGGGGTGGGATGGGAGCCACCAGGAGCGCCCCCAGTGCTCCTCCAGCAGCAGCCTCGGCAGGGATGGGCTCCGAGGAGCTTTCCCCATCACAGCTGGGGAGGGCGAGGAGGTTGGCAGCCCTGGCAGCCCTGCAGGAGGGACAGGCAGAGCCAGTCCGATGGAAATCCACCTGGTGCTGCACCAGGCCTGGCTGTCCCTGCCCGTCCCAGGAGCGCTGCAAGACGGGGATGGCATCACCCCGGCCTGGCACAGGGGGGTGTGCCTGTCCAGCTGCTCCTCCCACACACACAGGGACCACGCCGGGCTTTTAAAATACCATTTATTACAATGGAGCCTTCCAGGCTAAAATCCCCAGCCCAGGGCTGGGGGTTGGTTTCTGGTGTGGCAGATTGAGGGAGTGGGTGTGGGTTTGGGGTTTTTTTTTTTGCTTTAAGTTTCTGTCTAAACAAAACTGGAGAGTTAAGAACAGGGAGGAGAGGACTCTGGTCCTCTCCATGCCCTGAATTAGGACAGACCCCACGTGTAGGGGAAATCCTGCAGTGCCTGGAGGCATTTGGGGACCGGGGTCCCCTGCCTTGTGCCTGACCCTGCTGCGAGTCCAGGGGGGTGGCAGGACCCCCACGGTGGCTCCAGGTGGTGAGATGCCATCAGACACCCCAACCACATCCCAGAGCTTCTGGTTCCAAATCAAAGTGGAAGCTGGATGTGTTTCTTCTCTTATATTCATCCTCTTCCTCCTCATGCTGACGATGCTCCAGAAAACAAAACCAATTTCCAACAGAAATTCCCCATGAGATGAAACCACAGCACAGCCCTGGTGCTGCTGTAGACGCCAGTTCCTGCTGCTGCTGCTGCTCGGGCCGTGCCGCTCCTGCCGCGGGGAGAGCCGGGCAGGGATCCCGCCCTTCCTCCTGCCCAGCGGCCGCCCCTCCGTGCGGGGCCCGTGCTGCTCCTCAGGCTGGGGCAGGGCATCCACCCTTCCTCCTCCTCCTCCTCCTCCTCCTGCTGCTCCCCGTCTCCTCCGGGGCTCTCAAACCACAGCCGAGGAGGAGGAGGAGGAGGAGGAAGAGGAGGCTGTGGCTGCCGACGATGAAGGAGAGGAAGAAGGGGAGGAGGAGGCGTTCCAGAAGAGCCAGCGCCTCTTGGGCTGCCGTTTGAGGTGGAGGTAGTCTTCCTTCTCCCGCTCCTTCTTCGCCCGCTGGTAGTGATCCTCCTCCTTCAGGTACCACACCGGCGGCCAGCGGTGCTTCTCGAAGTACTCCTGGTTCTCTGCGGGCACACGGGGGCGTGAGGGCGCTGCTGGCACCTCCCCCTGTGTCACCTCCCCCCCGTGTCACCTCCCCCGGCCGCCACTCACCTCCCGACATGGCCTTCATGTCGCGGGGGAACTTGCGGCAGACGTTGTTGTAGTTGGTGCAGATGTGGTGCAGGCACCAGTCGGCCAGCTGGTAGGCGCAGTGGAACTGGGGAGGGATGGGACACCAGCTCAGGGCCACCAGAAGGGCCAGCACCAGAGCTCCACCTCATTGCTCCATGGACAGACATGGTTGGCCAGCTCCTGGGGCTGCCAGACCCCTCTGTGTGTCCCCTGGAGCACCCCCAGCCCTGCCAGACCCCTCTGTGTCACCTCCTGCCCTTCCAGACCTCTCTGTGTGTCACCTGGAGCACCACTTGCCCTGCCAGATCCCTCTCTATGTCACCTCCTGCCCTTCCAGACCTGCCAGACCCCTCTGTGTCACCTTCTGCCCTTCCAGACCCTCTTCTGTGTCACCTGGAGCACCCCCTGCACTGCCAGACCCCCCTGTGTCACCTCCTGCCCTCTCAGACCCCTCTGTGTGTCACCTGGAGCACATCCAGGCCTGCCAGACCCCTCTGTGTCACCTTCTGCCCTGACAGACCCCTCTGTGTGTCACCTGGAGCACACCCAGCCCTGCCAGACCCCTCTGTGTGTCACCCCCAGCCCTGCTAGTCCCCTCTGTGTGTCACCTGGAGCACCTCCTAGAGCTGCCAGACCCCTCTGTGTGTCGCCTCCTGCCCTTCCAGACCTCTCTGTGTGTCACCTGGAGCACCATTTGCCCTGCCAGACACCTCTGTGTGTCACCTCCTGCTCTGCCAGACCCCTCTGAGTGTCACCTGGAACACCCCTAGCCCTGCCAGACCCCTCTGTGTGTCACCTTGGGCACCTGCAGCCCTTCCAGACCCCTCTGTGTGTCACCTCTTTCCCTGCCAGAACCCTCTGTGTGTCACCCCAAGCCCTTCCACACCCCTCTGTGTGTGTCACCTGGAGCATCCCCAGCACTGCCAGACCCCTCTGTGTGCCACCTGGAGCACCTCTTACCCTGCCAGACCCCTCTGTGTGTCATCTCCAGCCCTGCCAGACCCCTCTGTGTCACCTCCTGCTCTGCCAGACTCCACTGCGTGTCACCTCCTGCCTTGCCACACCCCTCTGTGTGTCACCTTGAGCACCCCCAGCCCTGCCAGATCCCTCTGTGTCACCTCTTACCCTGCCAGACCCCTCTCTGTGTCACCCCCTGCCTTTCCAGACCACTCTGTGTCACCTCCTGCCCTGCCAGACCCCTCTGTGTGTCACCTGGAGCACCCCCAGCCCTGCAGCCCAGGCCCCTGCCCTACCTGAGCCAGCTCCAGGAACACGAGCACGTCCCCATCGATGTCCACCATCATCTGCGCCGCCTCCATCAGCCCGGTGACCGTGTACTGCTCTGCACAGGGGGGGACACCCGGGCTCAGGGGGTGGCTGGGACAGGTGACAGCCACCCTGCCACGCTGCAGCCACCCAGACCCACCTGTGAGAGCCACCAGGTGCGGCAGGCAGAGGCGGTTGGCGAGGATGATGAGCTTCATGTCGTCCAGGTCGGGGCTGGAGCTGAACTGCCCCGTGTACAGGTACTCCAGCACGGCCCGCATGCAGCTCTTGCTGGTGTGAGGGAGTGCCACCTGCCAGACACACACACTGTCACCTCCTGGCACACGCTGTCACCTCCCCAGCCGTGCCACCCTCCCGGGGCGCTCTCCTC